TGTGAAGTATTGAAGATTAAAATTTTGGGGCATCGGAAGATTTTTGGAAAATCCAGAAGAACTTTTGATTAATTATTGTGTGGTCCAGATACGATATATTTTTTGCAGGGTTTCTGGAAATTTTGACAATTTTTATGGTAGTGACTGATTGATGACAATTCCAACGGGATCAAAGTTCACTGTCTGGAGAGATTCAGTCTTCAGAAATCCATACAAAGATAAAAAAACCACGCCTTGAGTTTTTTATACCACGAGCACCGAGAAGGCTTGAGAACAGAAAATTCGAATTTTTCAACAAAACAAACACCAGTTTTTTTCTGGAACATACTGGATCAGCTTCTGAAACTGTATTGAACACAAATGAGAGGTCGTTTGAAAATCTGATTACCGTAAACAAAATGGAAGTCAAATATTAGGTTGTTCGGAAAGTCCTTTCCATTTTTGATCTGTTGTTTTCAAACTTTGTCTTTTCGAACGGGGTAAAAGCGAGGAAGCTGTCGTTTTATGAGTATGTTGGTGGGGTCTGATAGTGTCTACACCCCAACGGAGATCATTCTCCTTTTTTCGTGTAGTAAGATATGCCCACCGTTTTCGCCTCTAGTAATTTCCATTTTTGAACTACAATTTTATTTGTATTTCTATCTGATCTCAAGTTAGCTGAAATCGATCGCCAATTAATGGTGGTTAACAAAGAAGATGTATCCTCTCGAACTACCATTACAACCTGGATTCATCAATTTGAAAAACGAGTATTCTCGTTGGACGAAAATCCCCCTTCAAAAAGGCAAACGGGGTTAGGTTTGGATGCATTAAAAGCCGGGATCGAGAGGGACCCGTCTCAAACTGTGTGGGATATATAAGGTACATCAGTGGCAAACCTTTCGTCAAAAAGCCATAAATTGGAAACGCTCGGCAAAGTCAAAAAAGTGGGAAGACATGAACCACACCTTTTGGCTCAATGCAACTTCGATTCACCTGTGGACACCTGTTTGAATCTTCGCATCCTGCATTGCACACATGAATGTTAGATTCAAATCATTACTAGTGGTTATAAAGGGGTAATGTATGATTACAATAAGCCACATGCCAAATGGGTTGACAACGGCACTCAATCACCAGACGTCCCGAAAGGTGAAATTCATGTAAAAAATGGGGTGTTGCCGGTTTCGTGATCTACCAAGGAGTGGAGTATTGGGAGTTGCCAGATGATTGTGTCACTTCACGACTGATACCTATTCATCTCAGGTGACATAACTCAGACTCCATGTGGATCTCCATTGAAGAGAAACACAATGGTTTATTTTCAAAATTACAATCCGCGACCTCATGCGGGAAGGAAGACCCATGGCGATCTCGGTGGATATGGCTAGACGATTCTGTCTTATTCACTGCATAGCTCGAACCTTGGAATTTCTGATTATTACCCATCCAGCCATTTCTAACGTCATCTTGATTGAATAATATTCATTTCAAAACGTGATATCAAAAATGGTTTGACTTGATTTGCAACTTGCTGTGACCGGAGTTCTGGAAGGAAGGAATCCACAATTTAATGGAACGTTGGCAGACAGTCATTGATAACAATGGTTATTACCTCCAATTCATCCGACATCGTTTTGACTTTTTTTACATTGACCGTATCTAACGCCAAAAATGGAAAGGACTTTCCGAACAACCTAATAGAATAGTGTAGACATGAGTCGGGTCTTTTTCAGACGTTCTATCAATTGTTCAGACCGCAGAATATAGAAATACCGAGTCAAAAATCTTCCAAATCAAAAAATCAAACTCTAAAATTTTTTTATATTTTTCCGACTTAGATTTGTTTGTCCATAGATTGCAATTTTCAATCAAGTGTGGTTCACATGCTAGCAATTTCTATATCAAGTAACTCCCCCTGAACAACGACCATTTCAATCAATTGATAGTCTCACAATCGGTTGACGTTGATAACACCATTTTTTGCTAGAGAACAAAACACAATTTTAATTTTGTATTAAATTTTATTATGTTTTTTTAAACTCCAAAAAATGACAAGAAACAAAAACAAAAACAAGAGCAAACATTATTAATTACCATCTTTGACCCAATGTTGGAAATTCGGAATCATCCAGAAGGGCTGAACTGCATGCAGGACACGTTCTCTTTGTCTTGAACCATTCTTGAGCACACTCGGTATGATATCTCCGTTTACAGCACTCGCATTTGATAGTTCCTTCCTCCGATTCCATTTCCTCGATGCAGATCAAGCAATCAGTGTCAGCAAGTTCTCCTGGTTTCACTGCTGGAGCCTTCAGCAGCGACTGACAGATTTTTGGAGCTTCTGACTTGAAGATGTCTTTGTATGTCTTCAGGAATCCTTTGGAGAGGGCTGGGAACTCTGGCAGTTCTGGAATCTCTTCTGAGTTGACTAGTCGGCTTCCACGGATCATCTCCAACTGGGTGTTGACTGCTTGAATGTAGATTTTAGCCTTCTCGCAAAATTTAATTGCTTCAATTCTAGTGGTATCCTCGATTTCCTTGTTATGAGCCTTCATACAGATTCGTTGAGCAAGTTCTCTGCATTTTCCAACTGGGTTCCCGCTTCGAAGAGTTCCTTGGATCTCGAGAAGTTTAAAGAGCACATCTCTGACTTTCTCCGTCTCCTCGTCACTTCTAATTGGTTCCATGATTCTCACTTTCGATGCTTGTTGAGCTTCCAGGTACCTTATTCTATTATCCTTCTCTGCGAGAGATTTTCCACGATTTTTAATAATGATTGAATTCTCTTGATTGATGTTGTAATTAGATTCCACTTCCATCTCAAGGTTCATGATCGTGTCTTGCTTTACAAGAAGATCCATATTTTGTCTTTCGATGATATCGTTTTTAGATTTCAAGAGTTCTTCCAAATATCTGATTCTCTCATCTTTGTCCATTCCTTTCTGCTTCTGAACTTCGACTTCTAACTCAGCATTTGCCAACTCTTTCTTCAGATGCTTACACTCGACCTTGGATACTCTCAGCTTCTCATTAGCCACATCAGCAAAATGGCTTGCCCTAGAGCACTTCGGACAAGATTGGGATTCCTTGGAGGATTCTGGCATTTCGGATTCTGGAGAGGAAGAAGATTCCGATGTGCTTCGATGGGGTTCTTCAGATTTCTTTGTCTTTCTGGATCGCTTCTTCTTCGGAAGAACATCAGATGAGACGTCTTGGTCCTTTTCTTCAACGATGACGTCATCTTCTTTTGGTGGCTGTGGTACCGCGGAAACGGTAGTCATTTCCATCAGTTCCTTGATCTCTTCTTTGGTTGTTGAAGGCTTGTTCAGAAGCTTCTTCAGTGTCGGCCGTGTCGACGTCTCGCACAAAACACATCCCAAATACGGCGCCCACTTCATGCACATTTTTTGGCTATGCAGAAATTTGAAAAGGTTGGGAAGTTTCATCAAAAGAATCGTCAATTGACATTGAAAGACAGCGGAGTGCATATCTTCAAGTTTCAAAGCAGATGTCCGATCCTTGGTGACAATCTTGTATGCCCATTCAACCTCTCGCTTCATTTCCGGGAAACTGTTGTAAAGATTCAGGTAATCCAGTTCTTTATCCAAATCATCTTCTGTGAATCCTCCTTTTCTGACCTTCCGAATATGCTTGACAGGTGCTGACGACTTCAAATGATCTTCATAAGTCTTCTCCCACTTTGCTTTGATAACTTCCACGTCGTCCAAACTGATGAAAAAGTCTCCGCCATTGACAGGGAAGATGTGCTCCATAGATTTGAAGAATTGTTGGATGTGCTCAAATGTGTCTCGATCAATTCTCTGTAACACTTTCTTGGCCACAATCATATCGCTGATCAGATCGTAGAGAGCATCGGTGGCAGGGACGCAATAAGTTCCATCTGGTGCTGGGATTGGGATTGCAGTGGTGGATACTTTGGAGTTAAGTCGAATAAACTGAAAAATAAAACAATTAAAAAGTCAAATGTTTTAATAAATATACCTCAATGTTCCTCATGTCTCCAATCTTCACCTTTTGAGCGACTTCTCGGAAATTGAAAGTGGCCAAATTCGACATTTGAAGAACTTCCTCTTCGAACTCCGATACATCCATATTCTTGTTTTTCATTGATTGGAGCAGCTCATGAGCCATAACAAAAGAATCCTTTCCAATTTTGAACAGTCTAACCGTTGCCTTCGAATCATCAGCAGACATAAAACTCTCCTCCAAGACCTTTTTGAATAGTTTTCCGACGGTCACAACCCACGAAAACATTTGGGTATAAAATTGTTTGTTCTTCGCTATTGGGTATTTCTCATCGAAAGATTTCAACATTTCATATGATCCATCTGTAGACTCGACATTGGAAAAGTCCGGCAGATTGGGCATACACAATTCGGTGTTCTTGAATAATGCGTTTGCACACTCAAACAGATTTGCAGCAAAAACGTGTAGGATTTTAAGGTCCACTTTGATCATTTCGCAATTTGAATTGAATCGAGATCTCCATTCGGCTTCGAAACACTTCAGACGACTCTTCACTGCCAATCGAACCAGTTCAGCTTGCCAGCCTTCGAATGGACATGGAACAGCAAGAGAAATAAGTTCGAGGACATCCTTCTTGTAGATATATTCAACTCCTTTGATACTGTTATGAATTAAAGGTACGGTCATATAGATCCCATCGAATTGGAGCAGATTCGCACATCCAGGAGCAGTAAGGAAGTTGACCAGTGCTTGGAAAAGAGCAGTAACGTTCTGGAACATTCCTAATTGGCCACGGGAGCATTCCAAAAGGGACTCGAGGTTTGAGCGAGCATCTGCTTTGTCGCATTTCCAGTCGGCTGGGATGAGCTGAAAATTATATAGAGTTTGAAATGAAGAAACGTTTTTTTCAATATTCTCTGACACGAGAACAGTGGAACCTCCGGATCATAAAGATGAGTCTTTCGATAGGATTTAAAAACTAACCTCTTTTGGAATACACCGCTCCACGAGTTTCTTCACATTCTCCGACGAGAAAACAATATCCTTGCTGGAAACAAGCATTGTAGACTGAGTTGAGATCTGAAAACGTTATTATGACTAATTAGTGATAATGAGGGTAGAAACAATAGAAGCAAAATGAACGGAGCAAAATGATTGAATTTGAAAAAAAAATCCTAGGCATGGTCCGAAAGTGTATGGTATGGAAAAACACGCCGTTATTTGAAAAACGCTTGTCACCAACATTTTTCCAGTTTACAACTTTTTGTTGTCTCTAATAGCAATCGAGATATTCGTGCTCAAACCAGGTAGAGCAAATAAGAGAAAATGTGTTGGAGGAAGTACGGAAGACAAAACCAGAGAGAAGAGCTAGTCACCGACCGAGTGACTGAAATGGAATGAGAATGACAATGGGGACAATTTTGTGTACCTTCACCCTCAAAAAGGGCGGAGCCTGACATCAGTGTTATGAGATCCAGGTGGGGTCATATATTCCGAAAGATAAAGACGTGTTTGATTGACAGGTCTACAAGAAAGTAATAATCAGTGGTCCTCTACCAGGGTAGGTAAAGACAATAAAGTAGACTTAGGGGAATGAGTCAATGGTATATATGTTAAGGGCTCCTGGGAAACTTGAATGTGGTTAGCAGTACTTATGCTATGTATGGTTTTATTCTGGAAAATTCGGAATTTTATCTTGTACTGTATGTCTGAAAATGAAATATCAAAAATAATATTTTTTTGAAAACTTCATTAATTCAATAGAAAATTTAATTCATGCTGATCTGAAGAAGACTTCGAATGCACAATCCTCTTCAATAATTGTAAAGTATTGAAGATTAAAACTTTGGGGCATAGGAAGATTTTTGGAGATATTCAGAAGAATTTTCGACGAATTGTTGGGTGGCCCAGATACGATGTAGGCTTTGCAGCGGTCCTCAAAAATTTGGAGTTGTATTAGATACGGATGTGCCTTGAAATCAAGCTCCGCCGAAAAAAACGGCCCTGTTACAGTTTAGGCGTTTTAACCAGTTTGAGGGATCTCTAAGAAATTAGATGATCCGAAAAAATAAGGGCCCAAAAAAAAGAAGACTAAAAAATTAAATACCAAAAAAGTGGACCCAAAAATAAATAGAGTTGAAAAAATTTCCAATGTTTCAGCAAATATTAACTCTACGTTTGAGTATTATTTTCCAACAAACTCACACTCATAACATTCAGCTGATCTATCACAATTCCAACGGAATCGAAATTCACCACTTGGAGAGCATCTGGTCTTAGAAATCCATACGAAGATAAGAAATCACGTCTTGGATTCTGAAGAGCACGAGCACCAAGAAGATTTGAAAACTGAAAATTTGGATTTTCAAAACATTCCAATAGCTTTCTAGAACATACTGGCTTAGTTTCAGCAACTGTATTGAACACAAACGTAAGGTCGTCGTTGGAAAATGTGACTACCGTAATCGAATTTGAAGTTGATTCTAGATTTCCGACATTTCGAAGAAGACCAATTGATAATGGATTTTCTAGAGTACCATCAATGACATAGCAGAAGCGTTGGCTAATGTTGTCGTCGTTGATAGCAATTGTTAATTGGAGCTGAGTAAAGATTCTTAGATTCTTAGATTCTTAGATTCTTAGATTCTTAGATTCTTAGATTCTTAGATTCTTAGATTCTTAGATTCTTAGATTCTTAGATTCTTAGATTCTTAGATTCTTAGATTCTTAGATTCTTAGATTCTTAGATTCTTAGATTCTTAGATTCTTAGATTCTTAGATTCTTAGATTCTTAGATTCTTAGATTCTTAGATTCTTAGATTCTTAGATTCTTAGATTCTTAGATTCTTAGATTCTTAGATTCTTAGATTCTTAGATTCTTAGATTCTTAGATTCTTAGATTCTTAGATTCTTAGATTCTTAGATTCTTAGATTCTTAGATTCTTAGATTCTTAGATTCTTAGATTCTTAGATTCTTAGATTCTTAGATTCTTAGATTCTTAGATTCTTAGATTCTTAGATTCTTAGATTCTTAGATTCTTAGATTCTTAGATTCTTAGATTCTTAGATTCTTAGATTCTTAGATTCTTAGATTCTTAGATTCTTAGATTCTTAGATTCTTAGATTCTTAGATTCTTAGATTCTTAGATTCTTAGATTCTTAGATTCTTAGATTCTTAGATTCTTAGATTCTTAGATTCTTAGATTCTTAGATTCTTAGATTCTTAGATTCTTAGATTCTTAGATTCTTAGATTCTTAGATTCTTAGATTTTCAGATTTTCAGTTTTTCAGATTTTCAGTTTTTCAGATTTCGAGATTCTAAACTTACCGGTTCGGTTCCTGTATACGTAAAAGCATTATACAAGCTGGAATTATCTCTCAAAGCAGACACATCCAAAAAATTCATATCTCCTCCAGTTTTCATTTGAAAAGTCGGCCCAATTTTCGCGTCATGATATTCTACAGTAACCAAAAACTGTGAACTCATAAAAACACTTTTTGTGACAACTTGAATGTTGATAGAGGATCCAGGGATCACAAAATATTGAAACGTGTCATTCGTAGAAATTGAGCGGCTGAAAGAAACCAAAAACCTAATATCGATTTTTAAAACTTTAGAAAATGACTTGGTAATTGTAGTCTGTGCTCCAGTCATATCCGTCACGAGGATATAATCATTCACTCCTTTCAACCCATTTTGCACTAGAGCATTTGCGAATAATCCGTTTGTGGAAGTGTAAGGGGCAGAAATCTAAAAAATTTTGTTCTCAAAATGTTGAAAAAATTCAGAAACCGTATAAGTGCAATTGAAATTGGCTGGAATTGTTTGAGGGTTGTTTGATGGTCCAGGAATATATATAGGTTGCCATCAAGCTCTTGAGATGACGGGATTTGGGTACAATCTGAAAATTTTGAAATTTCGGAGAATAACAAATTCAGAATCCAATAATTTTGGAATCTCAGAATTTTAAAATCCCCGAATATCCGAAACTCGAAACATCTCAGAATCTCAGGATTTCACAATTTCAGAATTTTAGAGTTTCAGAATTTCAGAATCTCAGAATTTCAGAATCTCAGAATCGCAGAATCTCAGAATCTCCGAAATTTCCGAATTTCAAATTTTCAGAGTCTCAGAATTCCAGAAAAAGCTCACCCAACGCAGAAGCGGTTACCACAAATGTATAAAATACGAAAAATCGATACATCATTTTTTCTCAAAGGCGAAAAAATAAGACGCAGTTAACACAATTTTATCACTATTTAAGCAATTCTCTGACGAAAATTTTCGACTTTTTTTATGGAGCATTATGTCTTATCATAGAATTTTCAAGTGTCAAAAATCGCATAAACCACAGTTTGCGGTTTTTTGAAAAACTACGAAAATTTTGATTTTTCAATACTTTTTTATGAAAAAATGGGTATGGCATTCTGATGACACACATTTCGATCATGAGGCCGCTCGATCGGGGTTACCAAATTTTTTCGGCGCACCCTTTGTCTCCCACAACCTCAAATTTCAAAATGTATACATTTTTCGTTTTCCTAAGTATTTTTATGAATTTAAATCTATTTTTTGTTTCTGCTGAAAATGAGATCAAAGATTGTGGTTGGAATAATTTAGAAATTTGTAATAGAAATTCGAAAGAACTAGACAAAATAACAAATTTCGAAATTAATGGGGTCATTTCCCTGGAAGACGCCAAAAATGTTACGATGGCTTGTGAGAATGTTACGGTAAATTTTTTTTCGTCCGTGTAGTTCAGAATCGGAGAATCTCAGGATCTCAGGATCTCAGGATCTCAGGATCTCAGGATCTCAGGATCTCAGGATCTCAGGATCTCAGGATCTCAGGATCTCAGGATCTCAGGATCTCAAGATCTCAGGATCTCAAGATCTCAGGATCTCAGGATCTCAGGATCTCAGGATTTCAGGATCTCAGGATCTCAGGATCTCAGATTCTCAGATTCTCAGAATCTTAGAATCTTAGAATCTCAGAATCTCAGAACCTCAGAATTTCAGAATCTCAGAATCTCAGAATCGGAAGTTTCTATTAGGTTGGCGGGAAAGTCTTTGTCACTTTTTCAATAGTTTATTTCTCAAAGAAAAAATAACCGAATAATTAATTATATTGTCCATCATTATCAACAACATGTCTCCAACGTTCCCTCAATTTATGGATTCCATTGCGGTAGAATCTAGCCGAGCGTGAGGCAAAGTATTGTTTGAGTGCCGCTTCGACCGCTCCACGGGAATTGAAGCTTCTTCCTTCGAAGGCACGTGTCATATCGCCAAATAACCAATAGTCGGAAGGAGCAAGATCAGGAGAATACGGGGGGTGAGGGAGAACATTCCATCCATATCCCATCAGCTCCTGCTTCACTTGTTTCGAAACATGTGGGCGAGCGTTATCATGTTGATAGTACACTTTCTTGTCTTTCAGGGCCGAACGGTCGACTGCTTTCTTGAGGTTTCGTAGTTGAGTAGTGTAGAGGTCTCCAGTTATTGTTTTGCCCTCGGGCAGAAGTTCCCAGTAGATGGGGCCGTCCACTCCCCACCACACAGAGAGCATAACTTTTTTCGGATGAAGGTCGGGTTTGGGGACATCCTGTGGGCTCTCTCCTTCTCCAACCCACTGGGATTTCCTGTGGTGATTATCGTAGAAGACCCACTTCTCATCTCCGGTTATTAGCCGGTCCAGCCATCGATCGCCCGCGTGGAGAGTGAGAAGAGTAATCGAATCGTCAACTCGGCGGTCAAGGTTGGCTTGAGTCAGGTGATGACGTATGAATCGACCAAAAAGTTTTCTCATTCCAAGAGACTTCAAACCTTCAAGGACTGTGCTATGGTGAACTCCGAATGTGACAGCTAGTTCACGGCTAGATTGAAATGGATCCGATTGCAATGCGTGCTTCAGCTTGTCCAAATCCAACTCACGGGGTCTCCCAGAGCGATCCTTTTCATCGAGCGAGAAGTCATCTTTTTCGAAACGATGGAACCAATTGCGAATAGTATTGTAGTGAGGGGCATGTGTGTTGTACACATTCTTCAAGAAAGTTTCCGAATCCTTCATCGTGGTGTGAGATAGGAAGAGGTAAATCAAAACATGTCTGATGTGAATAGCAGTGGGAACAAACATATCGTTTCAATTACAGATGAGGAGCAGGGAAGGAAATGGGGACTTGTTTATATGGAAGGTTCTTATCACCTTGTTATTCACTAGAGTCGATATCATACACAGCCTCCATATACGAGAACAGTGATTAAACAAACAGAGTGACAAAGACTTTCCCGCCAACCTAATATAATAAAAGTTCTAATTATTTTCAGAAATGTTTTGGAAATTTACGCTGTGAAGACGCCAAACTCGAATTCCGATATTATGTGAAAAAATGTCAGAAAGAGAACTTTTACAACTACGAAATGGATCAATGTTTGTTGAAATTTTATGACGAAGTCTATCAGGAAAATTATAATTGCACGAAGCATTTTGATTATTTTTCGGCACGCTAGTTATCTTTTTTCTTCATTTATCTTTTTTTTCAGCAAGACATGGACATCAAAAAAGTTGCATATGGTTCTGGAAGATCTTGTTTTCTAGAAATCGTCACTAATGTTTGCTCTCAAAAATCACTGATTTATTTGGATACAAAATACCATAACCTATTGGATATTTTAACGGAATACACTTCTGAAGATAATTGTGACTCTTTTCATGATGAATGGATGGCTAGACAATGTCAACCAAATATGAATAAATTTCTGAAAGAAGCCGAGAATCCGACGGGAAATGTTTCATTGTATGATTTATGTGATAATGTAGCGGTGAGTTACCTAACAAATCGATTATCGATTTTTTTTGTTTTAGGATTGCTGGTTTGAGCATTGCTATTTTACTGGAAACAAGCACAAAGACTGCAAAAGCTATGTTCCGAATTTATCGATGACAATCTTGATGATGAATACGACTGAAATTTTTTATCTTCTCCATTTTTATCGTCCTATTTTATCCTTCTAAAATTTTTCCCTACCGTAACTGTGAAGCCAATTTTTTTAAAGAATCCAGAATTCAGAATCCAGAATCCAGAATCCTGAATTCAGATTATCTTCTTGTTTTGTCCTTCTAAAATGTATCCCGACCGTAACTGTGAGCCAATTTTTTAAAGAATCCAGAATCCAGAATCCAGAGCCAGAATCCAGAATCCAGAATCCAGAATCCAGAATCCAGAATCCAGAATCCAGAATCCAGAATCCAGAATCCAGAATCCAGAATCCAGAATCCAGAATCCAGAATCCAGAATCCAGAATCCAGAATCCAGAATCCAGAATCCAGAATCCAGAATCCAGAATCCAGAATCCAGAATCCAGAATCCAGAATCCAGAATCCAGAATCCAGAATCCAGAATCCAGAATCCAGAATCCAGAATCCAGAATCCAGAATCCAGAATCCGCAATGTTAGTTTTTCATCTTTTCAGGACATTATTATGAATAAAACCGAGAGCCCGCCATCATAAAGTCACCATAACCTCGTTTTGGTGAATTTCTGGCTTTGTGAGATGTTGTACCTTATGGCTTTTGACCACATACGGCGCTGATTGCATTCCGTTGTAGTATAGCAACCTTTCTTTATCATACGTCACAATTCGATCCGAAAAATTCTCATTTTTCTATCGTATGAGATGATCTCGCAAACTAGAGTAACGTTGCAATTTCTGGCAATTGTTCAGTTCATGAGAGACCCATTTATCTAGTTTTTTTCGTATTCTCAATTTTTTATATATGTCTCGAAATTGTTCCAATGCTGACTCCAAGCGCTGCCGAAAGTTCCCGGACAGTCGATCTAGGATCCCCTTCCAACACACTTCATAATTCCTTCCACGATCCTTTTTTTCTTGTATCTCCACATGTGAATTTTGTGAACCATCATTCTGCTGTTTTTTTGTTAGCACTCCTTTCTGCAAAAACACGGTTAATATTTTCGGTTGTCTCGGTTGCATTTCGACAGAGCACGGGTTCGTATTAAAAAGCAGCCAAAAATCACTTCTTTTCCATGATTTCTCCTCGAAGAACCGAGAACATTATGACACATGTTAGGTAAGAATTTTTGACGACTTGATCAGGTGTGTGAAAAGCAAAAAAAAATTGTGATGTTAGAACGAGCCATCGCAGAGAAAATTGCGCACGAAAAAAAAACGACATTTTTACTGAACACCCTAATAGCTGAAAAACTAGAAATTTTCAGAAAATTTTGTGAATACAAAGTTTTCAATCTAGGTTTGTTTTACGTCCTCCAAAGTTTTCGAAGTAATACGACACTTTACAACCGGGGTCCAAACTCCTGAAAATGGTCAAAATTTACTGAAAACACGGTTTTGTATTTTTTATTGACCGGTACTGTTTATGAACGTAGCGCGATAACAACGCGCAGTGTGAACACTGCTGATTGTACACCTCCATGTCAAAATGCAAACTCTAACCCCGAAAAAAATCCAAAAACTTTTTTGTCTCCCATTTCTGTTAACCATTTAATGACCGGTTGTCTCAAAACCATTTGTTTTAGAACGGTTCCGTTAAAATTATCAATGCTCAAATAGAAAACTGTTCTGTCAGTGCAGTTACGGTCTATGGAGTAAAACTGAGAACAATTCTAAATTTCAGGACTGCTATTCCGGCCTCTGTCATGTCAATCAAGACTTGACCGAAGCTTTGGACGAATTTTGTGATATGGTCGAAGCCAAGGCGCTCGAACCCAAAACATTCTACTCGTGTATGGTGAAAATCCTAAAATCGGATGCGAACCTGGAATATGATTGTGTACGTGCAAAAAATAGGGGTTCAAATGGTACTGAAATAACAATGGCCGATAGAGCTGTTTTTATGGTGGATAAGGAATGCACGAGAACTGTGATGGAAGGAATGTGTGAGACGACAGCTATGAGCACTTTCGACGAAGATTGGGAGAAGCAGCAGAATAGTGCTCGTAATCAATCTCAAATAATTTAATCACTATTTTTTTGATAAAATGACTTCTAATATTCACAACTGTCTTTGTTTCGGTAGACAGGCATCCCATTCATACATTCGCATTCATCGATTGTGTAGCTCGACAGATGTGACCGCGTCGCTGCTATACAATTTTTTATAACCATATAGCAGAATCCCAGGGGTATGGATACAAAAACTGTTCATTTTCATTTTTTTCGGATTGTTGAAATGTGGAAATAAATAGAAAAATGATGAGTTCCAAAATTCTAAATCAAAAATTGACATCTAATGGTAATTTGATAAGCAAAAGAAATGCAGACTTCAAAATTCAAAACCCGCAATTGAGAATCCAGAAGTCATAATACAGAAATCTAGAATACGGAATTCGTACACCAGAATTAAGAATTCGGGAAAGAAAATTCGGAATCCGAAATTCGAAAATCAGACTCCAAAATCCGGAGTTCGAAATTCATAATCCGGAATTCAGAATCCCGAGTTCGGAATTTGAGAATGAGAATCTGGAAAACCGGAGTTTAGAATCTGGAATCCGGGCCTTAGAATCCAGAATCCGGAATTCGAAATCCCAGATCCGGAACCCAAAATCCGGTATCAGAAATACGGAATTCAGAACCAAAAATTTCCAATGTTCTTTTTTTGGTTACATATTACTCATTTAAACATCTATGCTACAATAAGGAAGTTTGTACTCCAAATATATTCCGAAAAGATTGATTATTTTGAAAATCCGAGAAATGAAAAATTCTGAAAATCAGTTTGCTTTGAAATATCGAGAAAGTTTCTCATAAATATTTTCAGTTTCCTAAAAATCCGATCGTTTTGAAATTCCGAAAACATCCGAACACTTTGCAATTACGAGAAATTAGAATATTCTGAACATCCGAATATTTCGAAATTTCGAAAAACCCGAATGTTCTGAAAATTAAAAAATTCTAAGTATTTCAAAAGTTCGAATGATTTGAATAATCTAAAACTCCGATTGTCTGACATACAAAACCTCAAATATTTCAATATTCCAATAATCCAATTATCGAAATATTGAAAAATTCAAAAATTCCGAAATTACCAAAAAAGGAACATTAAAAAATCCGATTTTCGGATGTTGAAAAATATGAATACCAATTTTATAAACTTCGAACTTTTGGAAGATTTTCAAAATACGCTTTTTGAAATTGAAAAATGATGATTCCAAAACCTCGAGAAATTCGAAGTTTTGATCCTTGATAACTCGGAATTTTTAGGAAATTCAGAATACACCGCGTAGCTTGCCGACCATGATTACTCATCCTGACTCGAGTCTAGCGAAACAGCGAAAATTTCTTTTTTCGAAAATCAAAAGTTAAAATCTAAAGTAAAACACAGATCACATTGTCCTCCCAGTCTCGTTTCCTTCCCCCCTTCACTCTCCAACCATCTGCGTTTCTTAGTTCGCTTATCTCTAGCCTTGCCGTGCCTACAAAGTACGACTTGGTCGCCTCCCATTTCTTCAAACAAAAATAACGACTGTACGGAAAATGTGTAGTCCGATGTTGGTATATAATGGGCTGGTGGTTCGCCCTATTTTGACATCAAACAATGATTGTTCTATTGATTTTTACATTCACTGTTCTTTATTTTTTCAATGAATTCTACTGGAAAAGGCGCAGCTTGCCAGCAGGTTGGTGGTTGGATGTTGGCCCAATTTTGGATTCGCTTTTTTATTGCCCCTAAACCGCCAATTTTGAGCCCATATATCTCATTTCCTGTAAAAGATATCAAAAATTGTTAACTGATAATATTTTTAAGACAATATCAAAAATACGGTAAACCCCCAAAAGGGGTCTCCACTGCTTATTGACCCCCTAGCCTTTAACTTTAGGACCCACACCTCTACCTATTATTGGAAACATGCTAGAAATGTTCTCCTACCCTCCACCAGGAACCTCTGCATTCTCGGCATGGACTCAAAAGTTTGGAAAAATCTACACAATCTGGATGGGTACCACACCAGCGGTTGTTGTGACTGGATACAAAGAGCTCAAAGAAACATTTGTGAATGATGGGGACAGTTATTCCGACAAAATGATTGTGAACAAATTCAACACATCGTTCCGTGGAGGTGACTTTGGAGTGATTGATACGAATGGAAATACTTGGAAGGAGCATCGGAAGTTTGCGTTGCACACCCTGAAGGATTTTGGGATGGGTAAGGAGGCAATGGAGGCGTCGATTCAGTTGGAAGTGGATAATATTGAGAAAGAGTTGAAGAGGATGGAAGGGAAGGATGTTAATCTTCAGGTAAATCGATTAAATTTGAGAAAAAATTTCAAAAATAAAACTGGTTCCAGGAACTATACGACATGGCTATTGCAAACGTTATCAACCAATTTCTCTTCGGAATTCGTTTCAACAATCCTGCCAAGTTCAACGAGATCAAAAGTTATCTAGATGACTTTTTCGATGTTCAAGGATCCATGAGAGTATATCTATCCTACACTATCAATTGGCTGCCCCAGTGGATGGTAGAGCTCTTGACACCAGAGTGAGTTTTTCAGCGGATTTTGTCCATTTTTAGGAGTCTGTCAATTTTCAGATCCTTTCGGGAAACTTGAAAGTTGTAAAACAAAGCCAGATTGAAAACTTTGAATTCATAGAATTTTTCGAAAATCCTAGTTTTTATGATATTTGCTGATTTCTTAATGGCTCTCCTTTTTAGCCGGTTTCTATACTGAAAACGTGAAAAACAGGTGTTCTTCTGAAATCGGCAAACATCTGAAAAACTAGAAACTTCCAGAAAATTCTGTAACTGCAAGGGTTTCAATCTAGGTCTGTTTTACACCCTCCAAAATTTTCAAAGTTATCGGAAACTTGACAGCTGAGCTCCAGGCTCTTGAAAATGACAAAAATCAACTGACCGGTACTGTAGCTTTTAGCCATTTTCTTAAAATATTTTTGTTATTTTTTTAGTGTCGCAAAAACTCGTGAAGGAATATTTGGTTTCCTTGAACAGCAAATCAAGGAGCACCGTGAAGAAATCGACTTTGATTCTGAAGACAGTAAAGACTTTGTGGAGATCTTCATGAAAGAGCAGAAACGAAGAGAATCTGAAAAGGACCACGAGACATTTTCCAACGATCATTTGAGAAATATGTGCTTTGATATGTGGTCAGCCGGCATGCATACAACTTCCAACACTATGGGTTGGCTTACGGCGTTCGCAATGAATAACCCAGATGCTCAACGAAAAATGCAAAAGGAACTGACAGAAGTTGTTGGGGATCGGATGGTGACTATGAAGGATAAGCTCAAATTGCCGTATACCAATGCGTTTATCAATGTCAGTTTTAGTCCTACTGTCTAGCTCTAAATCTTGAATTCCAGGAAACACAACGACTCGCTAACCTGGTCCCCATCAACCTTCCACACGCCACTACTCGAGATGTGGAGCTAGCGGGGTGTATTGTACCTAAAGGCACCACAGTCATCCATCAAATCAGCAGTGTCCTCTATGACCCCGAAATTTTCCCAGAGCCGAGAAAGTTTAAGCCGGAGAGGTTTTTAGATGATTCTGGAAATCTCAAAAAGTCTGAAGAGCTCATCCCATTCTCGATTGGCAAGCGTGTATGTCTTGGAGAAGGATTAGCAAGGATGGAACTTTTTTTGTTCACTGCGAATTTGTTCAATCAATTCGAGTTTTTGGAGAGTGCGAATGGAGTGCCATCTTTGGAAAGGACGTATTCGGCGGTGGCTAAAGTTATGGATTTTAAATGTAGAGTGCAAGCGAGATACTCTAGTTGAAGTGTTAAATTGACGGGTTGTACAATAATATTTTTGCAGTTGTGAATGAAGTTTTTTCTTTCTAATTACTTCAGATGTACAGTACCGGTCAATAAGATCTTCGGCGACTCTCGATAAAAGATAAACTTATTGACTGGTACTGTAGCTATTAAAACCATTAAAGAACGCCAGCATAGCTAGAAAAAGGTGTCTGTTTTTCTGAAATTGAATAAAAATCTGGAAATCAACAAAATTGATTCATTCTTCAATTAAAAAAAAACGATCAATAAGAATTTTGAATTGGCGGTTTTTCCATATCGTTGGCGATTGCGAACGGCTCAACTTTGCACAAATTTGCAGACATGGAGACTTGTTCCTTTTCGATTTTCTGAGAGGATATCAAAGTCGCCTGCATAATACTCACTGGTAGAAGGAGGCCAAAAACTTGAATGGCGCTTGAAACGAACTGAAAAAGAAGGTTCAGCAATGAAAGAGGTTTTTGGACTGGCTTACGTTGAAAGGTATGACATCGCAAAAGAAGAAAGTGAAGCTGACGACGAGGCTGGTCTGAAAATTTGATATAACTCTTGGAAATTCGAATATTCTGAAAAGCTGATAAGTTTCAGATAATACAGAAACTTCCAGGAAAATTGACAGTTTTGAATAAAAAATAAAAAATCACTTGATGTTTTCGCTATCGTAATCCTCGAAAACATTTCAAGTAAACAAATGTTTCACCTGTTTCATCTCTTTCAGGAAATTACAATTTATCGGCTGCGTTTTTTGCAAATTTCAAAATTTCTGGAAAGTTGAATTATTCAGAAACTCAGAATTTAAATAAATGTTTACAAGTGTTTCACCTGTTTCATATCTTTCTGAAAACTATAATTTTTCAGCTGCACATTTGGCATTTTCAGTCAAAATCACGAGTGGCTGAAAATATCAGTAACCTACAGTAATCCTTTTTGAGACCTAGACCAAACAACAAACTATTACTGACATTCGGGCAAACCGGCCAATGTCATTTGTTGTCTTACCATTACAGAAACTGAAATGAGGATAGCTTGACAGAAAATGATCCGTTGGAGGGGGTTTAGATTTTTTCGAATTTCAGGATTTCCCATTTTATTGACCAAATAGAAAGCCATCGACAAAGGAACAGACAGATAGATGGAAGTGGTGGTTAGCTGAAAAAAAGAGACTTGCTGAGCTACGCGGTCAAGCCTACCATGAAAACAGCCATAGTGACTCCAGATCCAAGAAATGAGATGCTTTTTCCACTTTGCACGTCTGCAAATACCTGGTAGGAGTCGTAGATAACGAATGCAGGGATCACAACAAAATCGCGAAGCAAAAGAATTTTATAGAGGCTTCGAATCCTCTTTTTCTTCTTCATCTGCCTCACTTCTAGTTCCGGTCCCAGCAATTGTTCATCACTATTCTTCAAGCCATTGAAAATCTCAAGAGCGATCATGATCTGGTAGACTTGGACGAACCATGCAACGATGGCGGAATAGACAATGGCCACGATTGCTAGGATTCCGCCGATGAACCTGGAAAATTATAAAGTTAATGAAATGGATAAAGTGCCTTGAGCCTTACATCCCGATAACCGAATTTATTCCATCAGCATAAAGGACGAAACCCAGGATACTGAAGAGACACAAATTCAACACCACCGATACGGAATAGAACTTTCTGATGACGTGGCAGGCATGATGGATCACTGGGAACTCGACAAACGCCTTCCATAAATCAGAATAAACAACATGAAAACGAAGGAATTGTCGGAGAGTCAACAGAGCACCAATGGCAAGAAGGCTATAGAAGATGGCAATAAATATGAAAGCGATTTTAGCTTTCGCCAAATAGGACCATAGATATTCGAACTGATCATCTTCATTGGAAGCGGTTGCTATGAATGCTGTTATACCTCCGTTTTTTACGGTCGCATTTTTGTTGTAAATTTTCGTCAAATTTGACATTTGTAAAGAAGCAAGAGTTTTGGAAACATTTTTATATGAATGTTTCACCTGCTCAAATGGGGCGGGGTTTAAGGAGAATGTTGTATGTTTCAAGGTGGAAAGCTACATGTGCTGCCCCGGATAGGCTTTATTGACCTATCGGGACAGTCTTTCGAGCATGTTATACAAAGTTAATTATTGACGACTTTATTAAATACCTAGATAGAGAGCTCTGGAGAGTTGACGGATTCATTGGGTCGGCGGGTTATCGTAGTCGGTGCCAAGCATTTCATAAAATTTTTAAAAAAGTATTTTGAAAAATAGTTAATTTATCCAAAAAAACAATATTATGATTTCAGACATTATCCTAATCCCAAATCAGGAATCGGGAATTGGAAACTAACAAAATAATTTATACAACACAACAAAAGAGATACAATTTCAGACGTTCGATGAATTCGCATATTGCAAATTTCTCAAATTTTCAATCGGAACTACCAATGGTTGCACTCTTCCCAAATTCACAACCGCTGTGAAATTCCTCTGATTTATACTTTTACAGTGAACCACGGTTGTGATCATGATGTTGAGAGGAACAATAAATCCGGTTGATTGGATGGCAAAGGAGAGGAACTGAAAAAAAAACATATCTTGGAGAGTTACGATCTTTATATCTTACAAAAACAGAAAACCAGCCAAAAAAGAAGAGGACCAGGAAGATGGCAAGGACTATCTGAAATTCCTGAATTCCGATTGAAATCCTTAAACTTCAGACTAACCATTACAGCGACGGAGCTTACCACGGCTTGAGCAAATATCATATTTTGAAGTTCATTTTTTGTTGTCCGATTTTCAGAATTTTTTATCAGATAAGTGATAACCGCAAGAGGAACAGAGAGGAAAATGGAAGTTGAAGTCAACTGAAACATTTTTCTTTGAAATTTATCAATCAGAGTAATCCGAACCATCGTAACAGCTGTACTGATCGAGAACGGAGTGCTTCTGGAAATTTGGTCCAGGTCTAACAAGTAAGAAATTGGCACGATTATAAAATCTCGAACTAAAAGACATATGTAGAAGTTTCTCATATTTTTCTTCTTTTCCAAATGTCTCGTATGAAGGATTTGACTTGTAAATTGCTCATCTTGATTTCTCATTCCCTTGAAAATTTCCACAGCGATCATAATCAGGTAAACTTGATTAAATAGTCCAACAATATATGTACAGACAGCGGAAACTATTCCAAGAATTGCGGTGAAGAATCTGGAACATATTTCTGGTTTTTGAAATTGTAAAAATTGCAATATTTTAAGTACCGGACAAAAAATCATAATTTAGCTCTTTCAGTTGTAAATTAGTCAATATCATAGTCCTACAAAAGTAGTTCAAAATGTTTCGACTTGTCTGAAAATCTTTAGATTATACTAAACAAAAACAGAGCTTTAGTAATTGACAACTTTCATGCCAAATTCTATTCTGCTGAGATATACCGGTTAAATGCCCAAAATGCCCCTAAAGTGAGAATGAGCCCACTTTAAAATCGCTTATCTCGCTTCTTTGGGTATTAACAAAAAATTGTCAACTTCGAAAATAAAGCTCTATTTTTGTTTAGTGTACTCTGAAAGTTTCTGACTAATTGAAGAATTTTGAACTACTTTTGTAGGGTCCAAAACTGTACTAGTCGATTTTTCAACTTTATCCCTCCAACAAAAAAGAACAAAGAAATATCGAATCTATTCAGAATTCCTTCACAAGAAGGCTTTATAGTAGGAATGTAGGCAGATATATTACTCCACAAGACTCAGATTACATGAATGCTAGTGAACGTAACCTCCTTTATGGTCTCTCCTCTCTGGAACACAGGCGACAAACAAATGATAAAAAACTGATATCTAAAATAATGTTAGGAAAAGTGGGTCTAAACCAGACTGACTTTTTCCAAGTGTCCACAAATAATCGAACATGATCAAAATGAAGGTACAAATGGAAAAGAGCTAAAACAAAAATTAGGCAACACTTTTTCGTCAATAGGGCGCTTAGTAAAATGATTTAGTTACTGCTGAGCAATTGCTCAATTTTCTTATATGCACCAGCTGAGCTACGCGATCGCAGGCAACAAGCAACGCGGTCAAGACCACAGGCTTGCGACCGCATAGCTCAGTCGGTAACCGCGCAGCAACCCTAATTTTTTTCCCAAAAGTTCAACATCCCCAAAGCCAAATAACCTATTTTTCGAATCCCACTACCCCCTTACAGTAAGAAAAATGCAGCCAAACCAAAATTGAAAATCACATAGGCGAAAACTGGAAGAAAACACAATCCAATCACAAGGGAAGTAGTATAAAAGTATCTGATGACGTGGCAAGCATGATGGGTTATTGGAAACTCGGAAAGTTTTCTCCATTGCTCATCATAAATAATTTGAGTGCGTAGGTATTGACAGAGTACAGCCAGAGAGCCGCCCATATAGGCAGCATAGAAAATAAGAATGAACGCGAGTACCGATTTTATAATTGTGATATAGTCTTCGAGTTCGAACATCGTTTCTCAACGAAAAATGACTTTTTGGCATCATTTTTATACAAAAATGCAGCTGGATAGAAAAAGGGGCGTGTTTTGTCATTGAGCAAGCTACGCAGGAAGATCGTGCGTAAGAAAGGTCATGCGTCAATAGAAAGAGATTTTTGGATTTTTTCTTTGTAAAAATAGAAAGGTTTCTCCTAAAATCTAGTTTTCTCGAAGTTCCACCTGCCTGAAATCTGAAAAGTTGAGAAAATGTCAAATTTACAGCTGAAAATTGAATTCCTTGTCTTTTCTTGGTTATATGTACATATTTCTTGCCATGGTAACCATGGAACACTTTTTTTCATTCAAAAATTGGTTTTTGAAAATTTCAGCTGATCGTTTTTTTCTTGGCATTTTCGAAATTCCGAATTTTTATTCCAAAAATTATTCCGAAATTCTGAGATTCTGAGATTCTGAGATTCTGAGATTCTGAGATTCTGAGATTCTGAGATTCTGAGATTCTGAGGTTCTGAGATTTTGAGGTTCTGAGGTTCTGAGGTTCTGAGGTTCTGAGATTCTCAGATTTCCCAAAGTCTTCAAAGTTCCACCTGCCCGAAATCTGAAAAGTTTAGCGAAAATGTAAAATTTACAGCTGTAAAAGTATTTCGTGTCTCCCTTGGTGACATTTCTAGTCATGGTAACCTTAGTATTTTTTTTCAGAACTTCCACAGTTCAGAATTTCAGTAGATGTATGTTTAGAGGTTGGAAGTTGGAAAATGAAAATCGAAGTTCTGAAATTATGAATGAGGACTTGAAACTCGGAAGTCCGATATTAGAAATGGAACATAAAAAATAATTTATATAATCAAAAAAAATTTCAGAAAATGCACGGAAGTTTTTTTTAAATTCAATTGAAACATATTGAAAGAAGCCTTTCTCAAAAGGTCGTTCTATTAGAGGGGCCTTTCAATTGAAGGGGCCTGTCTATTACGTTTTACGGTATATCAAGCCTAAGTTTTTCAGTCACTTCTATCTAGTAATCGCTGTTTTCTTCATCGCAACTGTTTCAATGTCCTACATGAATTTGGTTTTCGGCAAAGGTCACCAATTTCTAATGATGAAGGTTATTCTGGATGATTATAATGAGAAAGAAATGGGAGAGCAGGAACTTTTCAAGCACAAAGAAAACTTGAGAACCTGGATCGGACGTTTTGGTTTCGGAATTAGAATCTACGAAGTGATTGCTGGGATGCTAGGCGTTGTTTTTCATTTCAACGAAGATTATAGAGTTTTCCTTGCTGTAATTTTTCAGTTTTAGCATTTTGTTCAAAGATCTATCTCAAATTTTCAGATTCTGAACAACATACCTCAAATTATTTTACTGTAAAAAATTTTTTGATCGGAGTCCCCCTTTAAGACAGTTTTTGGGGTTCAAAAAGTAACAATCGCCGTTTATTTTGAATTAGAAAAATAATCTTACTTCAGATTCTATACCTAACTGCTGCATTTCTTATTTTAAATGGATTTCCTGTTTTTGTAGTTTGAAGATTTTATTTTTTTCGGAAAATCCAAAAATGTATTTTTTCAGTACTTGTATTCCTCAGCTAATATCACTAATTATTCCAATTATCCATCAGTGTTCTACAGTTGGACAGTTTGGAAGAACCTTGAATTATCAAGTGGACCGAAATAATGTTGCAACTAATGTTTCTGGAATATCCTGTTTAAACAACATACATGAACTGTTGGATCATAAAATATGAAAAAATATTTTGCACGAATTACGAATTCTGATATTCGACTTTCGAGTACTTACTCCAGATTCCGTCTTCGAATTTTCGAAATTTAGGTTCTGATATCCGAGTTTGAAAACTTTATCAATAAAAAAAACTAAAATCAATGTAGTGTTGCTATTTCGGATAATTAAGGCAAAACCGTCAAATTATGAATCTTGTTCTTGGCCCATGGAAAGTTGATCGATCTTTTGACGTCCTTATTACAAGTTAGAAAAATCACAGAGTTGGATGAAGCATTGAGGGTCACCAAAAGTGCGATAACCCAGAAATATTCAAGTTTGTCGTCAGGAACCACACGAGGGAACACTTCGAAAAAAATCCAAGTGAATACGTAGAACACAGAGATGAACACAAATTGAATGACGTATCTGTAAAATGAGATGTATTTTGGCAGTATACAATAGAGCGCGTTTGCTTCAAGTCTTTCTGGTTCTGGCCGATTTCCACTCCGGCATGTTTGAAGGAGATTCGGATTGAAATGAACACCAGAACGTAACATAAGGTGGAAGCCAAAGAGCATAAAATATCAGACATGAATATCATGGTATAAGAAATATCGTATACATTGTTAGGATTAATGAACATGAATGAAAGAACAACGTGTTCGGCAACAAAACTAGAGAAACATATTTCGAAGTTATCGTCAATAGAGCGCACTTACGGACAGCAAGGAAAAATGTATTGGGTTAGAGTGGCAAGGGTTGAGGTCAAAATAAGTAGAGCTATGAGAATGATAACGGTGAAATTGAATGTGAAAATGTTGTATTTTTTAAATGAAATAATGCATACGCTGAAAAAAATTATTCTGACTACAGTAATCCCATATCCGCAAACCGATTAACAGCCATGACAACCTGCACAAAACACTCGATATACCAGGCATTAACGAAAATCCAACCGACGAAAATATTCGATACACTGGTCTGGGATCCAGTTAAAATGTAGTCCTGAACGTTTTTTTGATCATGCTACAGTACCTTTAAAAAATCGATTCTCACATTTTGCATGATATTTGGCGACAGGTACAAACATACAATAAGAAGTTGAAGTAGGTCAGAAATGATATTGAAAAATGCAATTATATATATCGAACTCTTTTTCTCAATGAATGCCAATCGGAATACGGGACGAAATATAAGCACGTTCAGGAAAACCGCGAAAAATGAGAGAACGAAGGAAGTGAGACCCAGGTAGAATTTTAATGCCATTTTTGGAATAAGTCCAGGCCGATTTGTAAGCCTGATATTAGAAAAAAATGAACTTCGCACACCCCTAGAGAGGTAGTTTGGCTGCGTACGTTCAATACTCAGCTCTAACAAAGCCAAAACAATGTTATAATCCCATTGGGGCTTGTTCGGAATCCACAATACTTCTAACTGTTTTGGCCTACAAAGTTTATTATTTTTTTAAGACAATGGGAGAAGAAGGGGGTGTTTCTTGAAATACCAGTCTAGTTTTCTTGGGACTTTGAAATTTTCATTTTCTATTTCGGAGTTTCCTTAGTTCCTCAATACAAGACGTGGTGCTTTCACAGATTCAGAAAAAATCTTCAGATAATCTCCAAATCTAAAAACTTTGTTAATCAGTAAAACAATTGTTAAAACACATTTTTGGCACATTTTTCGATTAGTAATCACTAGAATGCTAATATGTTTATTCATTTAATCAACTAAAAAAAATGAAACAAAAGCAATCGATTTAGCAGAAATCAATCATTGTATGGCTGCCAGTTGTTGAGTTGTCAGAAGTTCTTCCTGTTTAGAAAACAAAACATTCTTAAATTATCTAATGTTCGACTGTAGATATGAACAATTTCTCTAAATGAATTGAGACTTCTGGCATTCCTGGTTCTGGAGTGGAAAGGGATTCCAATGTAGCTTGACTGGATTTTCAGACTTCTTCGTCTTTCTGGATCGCTTCTTCTTCTGAACGTCAGATGAAACTTATTTTCACAAACCGATTAACAGCCATGACAACCTGCACAAAACACTCGATATACCAGGCATTAACGAAAATCCAACCGACGAAAATATTCGATACACTGGTCTGGGATCCAGTTAAAATGTAGTCCTGAACGTTTTTTTGGTCATGCTACAGTACCTTTAAAAAATCGATTCTCACATTTTGCATGATATTTGGCGACAGGTACAAACATACAATAAGAAGTTGAAGTAGGTCAGAAATGATATTGAAAAATGCAATTATTTTTATCGAACTCTTTTTCTCGATAAATGCTAATCGGAATACGGGACGAAATATGAGCACGTTCAGGAAAACCGCAAAAATTAAGAGTATGATAGAATTTTAATATCATTATTGCTTTTTCTTCTTCGGACTTCCAGTGAATTCTATCAGCTCGAATTCCAGAAAGTTGTATCCAGGAAATTCAAAAAAAAAGAAGAATAAACCCTAAAATAAAGTCTTTTATCAAAAAGGTCAAAGACTATGTTTTTATAATCGAATAGTATGCGATAACATTACGCGCGTATTCAAGCTGAAAAAGAAGCAAAAAAAACACACAATTTTTTTGGCTATGAATGAATCAGCTCATGACACGAGGAAGTAATGTCTGGAAAAGCTAGTGATATCTAAATTTGGGTACATTGAGGGTACATTATAATTGACTCAGAGGATACATAGTTGAAAGGAGTACATCTAGTTGTCTCACTACCAGTGTGTACATCTAGGCCAATAGACTTATCTACTACCTAGATGTACCTTTTCAGACTAGGTACCCTCTGAGTCAATGTACCCCTTGAGCATTATGTACCCTATTTCGATGTGCCCTCGGAGTATGGGCCGTATTCAAATAAGGGGAATTGGTGGTTGTTAAGCCTGATATAAGATACAAATGTTCTCACGCAGTCCTAGATTGGCTGAGTACGTTAAATACTCAGTTTTTTGGATCACAAGGCAGTTTTCTTAGGACTTCTATACTTGGAAGCAATAATCCACAGAAACGATATATTCTCAAAACTGGATAACTCAGCTGAGAACCTTTTTTTAATGATATTAGTGACAAAAAACAAGCAAACACGGAATAATTGAATTTCCTATTTTGCAGAGAAAATTTTTTGGGAGATTTTAGTTATACCAGCTAAGATGTATTTTTCCATGAAAGCGATCTTTTAGATGAAATATGAAATTATTTATTCCAAAAAAATGAATTCATTATATTCCTCAAACCGACGAAACAGAGAACAATTCTGACGTATTCGGCCTGACTGTTCTTCTTCGTCTCCGAACATTTCCATGTCTCCTATCCCAAAAAATTGTGGTGACTTGAATAATCAGTGGTAACGTTAAAACAGCAGTCTGCGAAATGTGTGGAAGGATCTGTAAAAAATCTGAAAATCAAAAGACTACATTTTCATCCGGACTTCACTCGGCATCCAATTCAGCTTGACCATTAGCCAGTATAGGAAGAGAAGCATCTGAAATTGTTTTTGAATTTTCACGAAACAATTTTTAAAGACTCACTGCTTGCACCGTTGTTATACCAATGGCTTGGTATAGAATTTGAGTTTCCATGGGATTTTTGAATCTATCCTTGACTAATTTTGAACTGATCATAAGAAAATAGAAAAAAAGAGATAAGGGTACCATGGCGTATATGGTGGTGTGGGTGGCCTGAAAGTTTCAAAGTTACGGTGTCGAAAAAATATCTCATGGGTTCATGGGTTCATGGGTTCATGGACTTTAAAAATTGAGGACTACTGTGATTTCGAAAAATTTCTTACCAACAAAAACACTTCTCCATAATACAAAAGATATCCCCTTTCATCCATTCTATTGATGTCAGGTAGCAAAAAACACGGGAAAATGATCAGATCGCGAAGCAAGAACATTTTGTATAATTTACGAATCCAGAATTTCTTCCCCGCCTGCTTGAATTCTATTTTCGCCTCTGTTAATTCTTCTTGTTTTCCAAGGAAATCTTCTGTTAAGCTAATTGATAACAAAATGTGATATAGTTGAACGAAAATCAGTAGGACGTATAAGAATACCATGAAGGTGAAACGAAGAATTATAATGATTAGACAGCTGAAATGAAATTGAAAATTAAATTTTTCAGAAATTTTGAGAACTCACTACCAACCGGAATTGTCAGTTGGAATGAAATAATCTGAAATTAGCAATGGAGCAAGAAGAAGCATCACAACGGAAAAATTGGTCCGCGTTTTCAAATGAGCATGTTTGATGATGACGAACTCGGGGAGCTGAAATAAGCGTTTCCTGCTGAGCTACATTGAAAAATCAATAAATCTTATCTCACCTTCTTCCAATTATTTCGATTCTTATCGAAAATTTTCAAAAATGGTCCACGAGTCGCTAGCCAAACCACAAGAATCATGAAATACATAATGACCAAGCACAGAAAAATTGAAGAATAACTAATGGAAAATTGTTCAATCATCCGATAACTAGCATATGCCCAGCCAGATGTCTTGTAAATAATCAAGGTGGTCTGGAAAAGCAAACTTTAGAATTCGAACAATACATTTCCAGATATACCGTAAAACCTGTGACAGAAGGGACTCCATAGCTTGAGCTAATTTTACTCGGTTTCAATACAAGATTTAAAAAAATGAGTCACCGGAAAAAAATGCTTGCGATATTATGATAAACAGCTTATCAGTTGATCACTTCAAATTATCTTTAACAGGAACCAAGATAAATTGACTCAACGTTAAAAATTAAAGGGCTCTTCTATTTCAGGTTTTACGGTATTTCAACTCACCGTTTCTGGTCCTTCCATTTTTCAGTTTCAATAAATCAAAAAACAAAATGAAAAATATTCTGACTTGGTGCTTGCTGAGTTTGTTTCCATCGTCTCCATAGCTACCGAATTAAAAAATTATTAGATTTTCGCCAGTTTTCACATGCGTCAGGGAAACAATAATGCACCTGGATATGACAATGGAAAACTTTTTCTAAAAGTTATATTTTTAGAATTGCGAGAAAAAATCCAATGATCAAATGATATTTTCGCAACCGGACGCTTTGTAACCGAGCGTTTTAGAACCGGCCATTTTGCAACTGACAATTCTTGAACTGACCATTTCGCAACCGGACGTTTTTGAACCTGTCATTTTAGAACTACTATTTTGCAACAAATTTTGCACCTGATGTTTTTGAACTGGACCTTGTTAATGCCGGTTATTTTGCAACTGACCATTCAGCACCCGGACGTATGAGAACCGGAAACTTCGCAACTGGCTAATTTGGGTTCGGAAGTTTTAGAACTGAACGTTTTGGAACTGACCATTTCGCAAACAGACGCTTCAAAACCGCTCATTTTGCAACTGGTCATTTCGAAACTTACCACTTCGCAACCGAACGTTTTATAACCAGGCATTGTAGAACCGGACATTTTGAAACTGGACATTTTAGAACCAGTCGTTTCGCAACTGATTCATTCCGGATACGAAACACTTTTCAACCGGACGTTTTATAACCGGGTGGTTTCGATGTATTTTTGAAACTGATCACTTCACAACTGCTCATTTCGCAACTGACCATTCACGCGGGCGCTTCAGAAGCAGTCATATCGGAACTGACCATTTTCGAACTTGTCATTTTGCCCCCGAACTCTTTTGAACTGGGCGTTTCAAAACCAGACAGGACCGCTTTTCGCAACTGACCATTTTAAAACCGGACGTTTCAGAATCGTTTTCTTTCTAATTCAGTTGAAACTTTTGTCCAGAAAAACCAATACACCCAACAAACACTTAAAAACCTTTATTCTTTTTCAAATCAAAAATCAAATTTTACGAAAAAATCTGAATTTCCGAAGGTTTCAATCTCAATTCTACACAAGTTGTGAATTGTAAAATTAAAGATAAAATGAGGATAATTAAATGAGGAACGTATGTCAAACTGCTCCAGGTTCCCACAACAATTCCGTCGATTTTTATCGGCGCCAATTCGAAGAAATTCAAAAATCCGCAAAACATGAATAAAATCTGAAAGAAATACTTTGTTAATAATCGCATTTAGGAGTTTTTATCACCATTTGGATTACTGTAATTACAACAACTTGCCAAAATATTATTGTCTGAAGAGGATTCCATGCAATTTGACGTACATATTTAATTTCAGTTTTTCGGATTTTGTTCACTAAATATAAAATTGTAACAATTGGAACCAGATTGTGTTATGGATAGTCCGAAAATGTTTTTTCTTGAAATTTTTTTTTTTGAATTACAGAATTTCAGAAATATGAAGTTTCCGAAAGTGTTGTATTTTCAAAAATTTTTGAACTTCTGTATTTCTGAATTTCTAATACTTACAAGCATGAAAATCTGGAAAAAATGATTTTGGGGCTATCCGAAGAAAATTAGAACTAGGTCTCTGGTTAAAAATGTTCTATAAAGCCATTTGATAAATATTTTCTTCTGAATTTGCTTTTTTGCAATTTCATAATCTGTCAAAACCTCTTTTGACTTCATAAAATCGTCCCACACAACCATAGCAATCAGAACGAGATGAACTTGTCCGAATATGAAAAGAATATACAGTAACCAAAATAACAGTAAGAACTGCGAGGAGAACACTGAAAGACAAAAATTGAAGAAAATTAAAGGAACTGAAAAATAACTTACAAAGAAATAGTTTGGGACAAGTGGATTGCACAACAGATGATCGTCAAAATGGAGATTAATAATGAATTTTGATATCTGGCGTAGACATTCTCATGGATATAATTAGCATGAGAAAATATTGGAAACTCAGGGAGCTGTAATATGAAAAAATTACACCATACTTGTAAAATTCCGGACCGGGCCGGGCCTGAGGAAATTTTCAAGGCCCGGGCCCGGCCCGGAAGGCCTGTTGTCAAAAATTCTGTATTTTTGAGCCAAATTTTGAGCTCTCAATATAATTTCTTCCATTTTTTTTTCGTATTTCGGATTGTTTGTCTGTCTGATCAAAAAAGATCGAAAAACTCGAAAAAAATTTTTTGGTCGAAAAAAATCACATAAGCCCCCCCCCCCCTTATGTGTTTTTTTGAAAATTTCAAAACTAGTGAAATGACGGGCCCGCCGGGCCGGGCCTCCGAAATTCCGGAAAAAGCCCGGCCCGGCCCGTTACAAGTATGAATTACACTATTTTGATTTAAAAAGCTTTTTTTTACCTTTTTCCAAGCTTCTAAATTCTTCTGATAAAATGCTTTATAAGCACTAGCAATCCTACAGGGAAATACGATAGTTGTGATTATAATAATAAGTGATGCCGGTAAACAAATCATTAACCCATAATATATTGGAGTTCCCGCCAAAACATTATTAATATTAGGTTGTTCGGAAAGTCCTTTCCACTTTTGATATGTTGTTTTCAAACTTCGTTTTCTTGAAGGGGATAAAAGCGAGGAAGTTGTCGTTTTATCAGTATGCTGGTGAGGTCTAATAGTGTCTACACCCCAACGGAGATCATTCTCCTCTTTTCGTACAATGAGATATGCCCACCGTTTTCGCCTCTAATAATTTCCATTTTTGGACTACCATTTTATTTGTATTTCTATCTGACCTCAGATCAACTGAAATCAATCACCAATATGTGGAGGTTAACAACGAAGATGCACCCTTTCGAACAAATTTCACAACCTGGATTCATCAATTTGAAAAATGAAAATTCTCGTATTACGAAAATCCCCCTCCAAAAAAGCATACGTGCTCAGAATTGGACGCATTAAAAACCGAAATTGAAAGGAACCCGTCTCAAACTGTGCGGGATATATCAAATACATCAGTGGCAAGCCAACCCAAGTGGGTTGACAGAGGCACTCAACCACCAGACGTCCCGAAACGTGAAATTATCGTTAAAAATGGGATGTTTTCGGCCTGGATGTCTACCAAGGAGTGGAGTATTGGGAGCTGCCAGATAATGGTGTCACTTTTATGACCGATGCCTATTTTTGTCAGGTGACATAACTCAGACTCCATGTGGATCTCCATTGGAGAGAAACACAAAGGTTTATTTTCAAAATCGAAATTCGCAACCTCATGCGGGAAGGAGAACGGAGACCGATCTCACTGGATGCGGCTAAACGGTTCTGTCTTATCTATAGTATAGTCCGAACCTTGTACTGTCTGACTACCCCCTATTCAGCCATTTCTACCGACATCTTGATTGAAAAAAATTCACTTCAAAGCATGATGTCAAAAATGGGTTGACCTGATTTTCAATGCGCTGTGACCGGAGTTCTGGAAGGGAGGCATCCACAATTTGGTGAGACGTTGGCCGATAGTCACTGATAGCAATGGTCATTATCTCCAATTTATCTGACATCGTTTTGACCTTTTTTATATCGAATGAATCTGACGCTAAAAATGGAAAGGACTTTTCGAACAACCTAATAGAATTTGTTGAGCTTGTCAAGGCATCGAAATTTGTCACTTTTGAGAAATAGAAACAAATCTGAAAATTTCAAGAGAAATTTGTAGCTTTAAAAGAGTAAAATGCAGGTGTTTTTGTGTGCGGCTGCTCTTTTGGGAGCAAACTATGCAAACGGGGTAAATGTAAACATTTAGAATAGAGAAATGCGTCAAAAAGACGCAAATTGTGGAATCAAAAAACCAAAGCTTTAATATGGTCGTCCAGGTAATCTGGAGACTACACCAGTCCGACTGAATAGGAAACTTATTGCCAAAGCGGACGGTCAACATAACAATCTGATAATTTGGCTCTTCATGACATAAGAAAAGAAGTGCAAAGAAAGAAATTTCAATGGAAGCAAGCCGCAAAACTTGAAAAAAAATCGATTAATCCCTTTTCTCATGGGCTTTCGTCTAGAAATTTTTTTGTCTGAAAATTTTGTTTCACTCGAGATGCTGAACTTTTCCGTTGAGTTGTTTGGAAAGGTCGCTTTTCTAAACGTATGTTTTCAGTGAATTTTGACCGTTTTTAGGAAAGGAGGACGTAAAAAACGGGCGTTTTTCAGAAATCGGCAAAAAAACAAAACTAAAACTAAAACCAGAACCCCGGAGCCCCGGAACCCCGGAACGATATCAAGACCAACATTTTTCTCAATGTTTTTATTATCTTCTACAGGAACAGAGATATATTTGGTCAAAATTGCGAAATGATGTTTGTGATCAACGACGCGACACACATAATATTTCGTAATCGAGTGGCTAAAAAAATCAAACAAACGATTCATTAAAAATATTCAAGACATTCTATCAAGTTCAATTGTTTCGAATTGTTTCCCAAAAGAAGTTGTGATTTGTAGAATTACAGGAAGAAAAAACAAACTAAAATGTGGGACATAAATCACATGTTCTATTGTTGTTTTGCTGACGGAGAACTCAGGAAGAAAGCTACAAATTGCGAAAAGGGTCTGCAATTTAAAGACAAACTGAATTAAATCTAGAAAATTAGACTTACCACTTGAATCAATGTGATTGTAACAATTTGGTAGAAAAGTTTCGCTTGGAGAGGATTCAATGTACTTGGCAAAACGTCAAATACCAGACTCCAACATCGTGTAATAATATACAAAATTGTTAAAACTGATAAAAAGGCGTAAATTATGCTATGAATTGCCTGAAATTGAATATCTTGAATACATACAGACACACAGAGAGACACTTACAACTACAAAAGTGATGGTGAGAGCAAAATGGTATTCTTTAAGATTAACATGATCTAGAAAAAAAATCGAAGGTGTTAAAATGAAGTCTCTGATCAGAATCGCTCGATGAAAATACCAAATCCATAACTTTTTCTCAATCTGCTTTTTTCCAATTTCATAGACTGTCAATTTTTCATTTTTCCCTATTATAAAATCATCCCAAATTGTGCAAACTATCAGGAGAAGATGAATTTGTCCGTGAAAAATCATAAAATATACACAGATGGCGAGAGGAATAATAAAAATCGCAATGATGCTGGAAATTTTGAATTATATTTAAAATACTTTTGTTAACTTTAAGCTATCATAATATCAACAACATTTTGTTAGTTGACCTCTTTTCAATATCTTTCGAAGAAAACGAGATAAATTAAGTTGAAGATTACGGAAAAAACCTACAAAGGTCTAGCAGTTATTTCATCCGTTAACTCCATGCAAATGAAAAAGCAAGCTATCAATATAAAAGTTGCTGTGTAAAACTGCCCAATTCTGGTCCGCCCATGAAAAAATATTGGGTAATCTTGAAACTAAAAACATTCATATAATATATACAAATTAGAAAAAAAAATTTAACCTGCTTCCACTCCTCTCGATGTTCATCAAAAGTTGATTCATACCATTTCCTGGTTAGCCAGTACAGTAAGAACATTACAGTATAAATTATCATGCAGGTAACTGACCAGAAATGAATATAACTTTCAGATTCATGTGACATTTCTGAATGGGAGATTTTGCTTCCGGAAAAAAGATTTATATGGAAAAAAGAACAAAATGTTTTCACCTGCTTCAAAATTTTCAAATGTCATCAGCACATACTACGACAATTCGCCAAATGTCGTTAATCAAAAAATACGTCAATCGGAAGAAAATGCACTTTAATTTATTTTTAGAGAAATGAACAATTTCGAAATCTTCAATAGAAGTGTACATATTTCCTGTGAGCGATATTGAAAATGTGTCGAATGATAAAGTATTTTTGATAATAAGGTAAACATTTTATCAGCCCTTTTTGATATCATTTATAGGAAATGAGGAAGATCAGCTGAAAGTTAATATGTCCTAATTTACAACAGTGCGCGTCATAATGATAGCACCACCCCATTTTCTCCCAGGAGCAAAGTTATTCAAGATTTATTTCGAAACCCCAAAAAATGACTGAAATGTCTGAAAATAATTGTTTCTGAAACTTGAATAGAGACATCAATTATTCGTGCAGACTGTCAAAATAGACTGTTTTAACACTATTTTAACAAATTTCAACAAAACATTCTCAACTTATTTCTCAAATAAACATGAGATTTTCCGTTTTTCCAAGGTGGTGCTATCATTATGACGCGGTGTGCAGAGAGACATTTGGTTACTGTAGTCCTAAAACACCTAACTGGCACTTGATTCAGGGGACACATAGGTTTTTGGGATGCTTAATCTATTGGAATTAATCGTTTTTCTCCAAAATTTTTAGTTTTTTTGAAAACCTCAAAAAATGGGTATGATGTATTAAAAGAATTTTAAAAAATATACGACTTTTTGAACAACTATGTCGAGAAGTGATACATCTGAATATCAATATCTTCAAAATAGTGTTTCTCTTTTCCCCTGTCAAAAGGAAATTTTTGAACCCAAACTAAAAATTTTGAAGATTTCTAACAGCTGTTTTACTTGAAAATAACCAATGTCGACATTTTCTAAAAAATACGACAGTTGGCGTTATTTGAACATTGATTTAGAATCTGTCAAAAGTCAGGTTTTGCGGTTAACATGAAAAAAAAAATTTATATTAGTCCATTTAGTTTACAACAATAACTTTCAAATAATAATGTGTTTAGATAATTCCTTTGAAGTCGCATTTTTTGGCGTTCTCGTTCAAATACAGCAGATTCTGAAACAACAACTTCTTTTTCATTATCAGTTTATGTCAACATACATTCTTGAGCTTCTCCCAATGACCTTTACCACAAGCCTCAGTGACCTCCTTCTTGAGACAATTTCTTTTTCCAAAAAAGTTTTTGCACACATCCTGAACTTTCTTCGGGTCCTTCATTTCGACATAGTTATAGAATGGACTCCAGTCTTCGTAGCATGACAAGTTCTTCTCATCCAACTTCCTTTCACAATCGGCAAAATCATCAACGACAAACTTGATGATGGAGCAATAATTTTTCACATTTCCAAACGCGTCTACTGCATCAGCATCATTAAAAAGTGGGCAGTGATTGAGTGTCTTGTTGCAGTCGCTGAGAGCCTCACAGCCTCTATGAAACTCTGCCATCTCGTCATCATCCTCTATGTCAAGGTTTTGCGCTTTTCCAGCGAAATCGATGAGACGCTAAAAAATGAATATATCCCTTACAGATGTTCAGAACATCTTATATCTATAAAAGTGGGAGTCTATGACGCTCAGGCTCATACCGTATGTGATACTGTATGTTCCCTGACTACTTCAAATTTATGCTCACCGATCTAGTAGCTTCACAATGCTTGAAAAACTCAAACTCACCAATCCACACGAAACTGCCATCATTTTGTCAGCTTCCGTGCAAACTTTTCCAGCTACGCTGGCTCCGTGAGCACCAGCAACCAATATTGTCCCAATGAGAACAAGATTGAGAAAATGCATAATTTTCTATAATATTTTTGTGGAAGATGCCAAGAAAAAGCTGAATGCAACGAAAATTGGAAACGGAAATGTGGAGGATGAGAAGTGGAGTGATTTCTTCATAAAACAATTTTACACCCGAATCTTTTAAAACAGTTGTTCCATTAGAGAATGTTTGACCCATCGGATCAAACTATTTTTAATTCTTGAAAGCAACGGCATATGGCTTCTCAACTATGAAGTCGACGAAAATCAAAAACCACTATACAAATACAGTTACACCAGAAAGATATTTTCCCTCTGAAAGTGTTTGTCCCTTCGAACTATTTTCAATTCTGGGGAGCAGTTGGTTTTTCCACATTGGAGAAGAATGCCAAAAATCGTCATTGGATGTTGTTTTGCTGCTTTCCATCAACTGATGTTTTGTAGATCAAAATTCAAGATACAATATAACTATCGCACGTCTTCAAACTGTAGCACCGAGAAAAATTATTATGTAAATGTTCATTGACATAAAGATAATAGATAGATGAAGTCCTAACAGAAAACCATTTTCATTTCAAAATTTAGATGATCCCTTTGAAGTCGCATTTCTCCACTATGCGGAAGGGTTCTCCACTATGCGGAAGAAACTCGACGAAAATCAAAAACCACTGATAGGAAGAGTGAAAAAAAGTGCCGTAAATCCTTCGATAGAATGTCATCTCTATAGTTTCATTTCGCATTCAATTATCTCAATTTATGTGAAAGATATCAAAATTTTATAAATTTTAAAAATGTTGGTGATAGCATGATAAAGATTTCGTCAGTTGACAAATTTTTGATATAACTAGTAGTGATTTTCAAAAGTTTTAATTTTGGGAAAAATATTCAGAAAGTGTTAATATTTCTGTTATATTTGTTGAAAAAACACGGACAGTACTTTGATGTGAAAATTAAAACTTTTGAAATTCACTACTTGTTATATCTCTAATGGGAACCGAGATAACTATGTTCAAAGCGGAGGCATATGGTGCCGTTTATGGTTTTTTATTAGGCACATAATTCGAAAGTTTAAACGGTTTAGGGGTACAAAACCTATAAATAGGGGTATAAGTTTGATTTTTTGTGTATTTTGTACCCCCGAATTGAGAATTTTGTACCCTTAGATCGCTTTGTACTTCCATGACCCTAAAGTTTTGCACCCACCCCACAATGTGCCACTTTATTGAGTTTTTCTTTCTTCTGTCTAGAGAATAACTCCTAACATAAGGTTTTCCTGAGCTATCATGATAAAACTGAAGATATCATGATAAAAATTTTGTAAATTGGCAGATTTTTTATATCTCCAATGGGAACCGATCATTCTGTTCAAAGCGAAGGCATAATATGGCACCATATTATGGTTCCGTTTATAGTCCTTTATTGTTTTTCTTTTTACTGTCTAGAGAATAACTATCCGAAGGTTTTCCTGAGCAGAATCAAGTCCTCTTGGAAGTTTTTCAAGGCTTCTTTCTGAGTTACGCGGTCCGAAGTTTGAGATCTAGGGAGCCGAAAAAATTGTTCACAAGGACAAACATTTTCAAATGGAACAACTGTTGCACCAGAAGACGCTGATACGCTGGGAGCCAATTCCGCCCGTCTCAATAACCTTCGAGCTTTTAACAACTGCTTGGAAAATGTTTTTCTTCAACGTCCCATTAAAACAAATTTCCAAATCGTGACTTAAAATTGACTCTAGTGTCCTCCGTTTCTGCGTCAGGTCTATCCTTTCCGTTAGGACAGGTCCTTTTGTTCATTATGGGAACTCTGAGAAAAAAAGAGTTCCTCAGCCGTTAAAAACTGTTTTATCGACTTTCTGTTTATTAAAACACTCTTAACTAGTCCCGGAGAAAATATAAAACTTGAGATAGTTAATTTCAGGAAACCATGCATTTTCTGAATATTGTTCTCATTGGGGCCATTCTGATCCCTGGAGCTAACGGAGCTGGTGTACTTGTACATTGCACGGAAGGTGAAAGGCTGTTGGCATTCTCGTGTACAGCCGTGAGTTGAAAAAAAAGAAAGGTCCATTACGAATTTAAAGGCTCTCTTTTCAATATAACAAGTAGTGAATTTCAAAAGTTTTAATTTTCACATCAAAGTACTGAAATTTCAAAAATTTTTGTGAGCCACGTGAATCTTTTAAATCTCCCAAAAGATGGACCGTTAAGTTTTTGGGAGCAACGTGTTTTTTCAACAAATATAACAGAAATATTAACACTTTCTGAATATTTTTCCCAAAATTAAAACTTTTGAAAATCACTACTTGTTATATTGCAAAATTCCGTTGAAGTATTGTTGCTTCAAAAACCCGAAATTTACAAAAAGCAAAAATCTCATTTTTCAGCGTCTCATTGATTTCTCTAAAAAGGCTCGACACATCGACACAGAGAATGATGGCGAGATGGAGAAGTTTTATAAAATCTGCAGAGATTTGAAAGGCTGCGAACAATCTCATAATCATTGCCCGAACATTCGAGATAATAAACCCATATTCGATGAAATGAGCACTTGGTGCTCCCTTGTTAAGTTTGTCACTCAAGATATAGCAGAATGTGAGAAAAAAGTGGACAAGAAGAAGAATTTGGCATGCTATAAGGGTTGGAGTCCATTTGATAACTATGTCGACATGAAGAACGAGAAAAATGTTCAGGATGTGTGCAAAAACTTTTTTGGAAATGGTAATTGTCTTAAGAAGGTGATCACTGAGGCCTGTGGTACAAGCGATTGGGAGAAGCTTAAGAATGTATGTTGAAAGTTTATTGAAGTTGAGAGAAAGCTTTTATTTCAGAAGCTGATTTCCATGATTGATAAGGCCGAGGAATGCGACTTCAAAGGGATAATCTAATTATTTTTTGAATAAAAGTTTTAAGAATTTGAAACAAAATTGACTTTTTGAAAATATGAGTTTCCTACCGAACAAAATTTTACGCTAGATGCCACTTTATTAATTTTTCCCTTTTGTAAAGTTCATTAAGTTTTTCCTTTTGCAACTATCCATAGGTTTTCCTGAGCAGAATCAAGTTCTCTTGAAAGCTTTTTCAAGGCTTTCTTCTGAGCTACGCGGTCCTAAGTTTGATCAAAGACAGAGGGACCGGAAAAAATTGTTCACAGGGACAAACATTTTTCAAATGGAACAACTGCTTCACCAACTGCTTGGATAACATTTTCTTCCAACATCTCATTAAAACAAATTAATTCTTCATGTTTTGTGGGAAAAATAGTGTATCTCCAAGATAGACACTAAAGCGTTTTTCGTATTTTTGTCAGGTCTAACCTAGAATCTTTTTAACGCTAGATAGGCATTCAGTTCGTTCGTGCTGGGACCTACCCGGAAAGAAAGAACCTGCCTCTCTCTCTCTCTCTCTCTCTCTCTCTCTCTTTTCTTTTCTTTCCTCCCTGTTTGCTTTGACTGATACACAACGCTACAGAAAACCATGCGTTTTCTCAATCTTATTCTCCTTGGGACCATACTGGTTGCTGGTGCTCACGGAGCTAGTTTGGCTGTAAAACCATGTACGGAAGCTGACAAGCAGATGACATTCTCGTGTGCAAGGGTGAGTTGACATTTTTAAAGTATTCAGGCATTGTAGGCATATCAGGTCAGCGAGCATTCAATATGTAATAGTAGCAGCCACCTGTTCGCCGCGCCTGCGGCTCTCGAATCAGCTTTTGTTCACGGAGGCCAACAGACGCATCTAGCGCTTTATGTGTACAGTGGCGAACGTTAGTGAGTGTCCCTCTATACTTTTGTTCAAAACTTTGCTCAAACTTGTCCTATAATTGAAAACTTTTCTGTTAAATGTAGCTGAGTTTCCAACAAAACGCTGTATAAGTTTTTTGAAACTCAATCAATTTTTGTGCCTTCTGTATCTTCACAGACGTTACGATGACTCCAGAAGAAAAAAACAATTTTTCGTCAGAATTTTTTAAAAGATTGGCTTTGTGATGGAAAATGTTTGTTGTAGATCAAATATAGACAGAAAAAAATTTGGAGCGGTTTGAAACACTTGCTCTTGAGATGTGTTCACTGAAGCATTAAAGGTATGGTTTTGGAGTTTGGCTATAACTCGGCTCAAAAAGATCCAAATTTTCTCAAATTTTGAGAGAATGTGCGTCTTTATGTGTTCTACAACATAAATACAAAACTTTGTATTTTGGGAACAAAAAAGTTTTTTTCGTAATACATAGCTTGTTTTCGGTAAATAAAAACAAAAAAATTATGAAAAATTTTTGTTCCCAAAATACAAAGTTTTGTATTTATGTTGTAGAACAATTAAAGACGCACATTCTCTCAAAATTTGAGCAAATTTGGATCATTTTGAGCCGAGTTATAGCCAAACTCCAAAACCATACCTTTTATGCTTCAGTGAGCACATCTCAAGAGCAAGTGTTTCAAACCGCTTCAAATTTTTTTTGTCTATATTTGATCTACACCAAACATTTTTTTTCATCACAAAGCCAATCTTTAAAAAAAATTCTGACGAAAAATTGTTTTTTTCTTCTGGAATCATCGTCACGTCTGTGAAGATTCAGAAGAAACAAAAATTGATTGAGTTTCAAAACACTTATACAGCGCTTTGTTGGAAATTCAGCTACATTTAACAAAAAAGTTTTTTGGTTATTGAACAAGTTTGAGCAAAGTTATGAACAAAATCATAGAGTGACACCCACTAACGTTCGCCACTGTATATAAGGAAGATTTAGTAGCATAAGCACAGTTAGATGTCCTTGTATACATATAAAAAGTTTTCTGAAAGTTTGTAAAGGATACATTTATTTAACAGCGTCTCGTTGATTTCTCTAAAAAGACTCGACACATCGACATTGAAAATGATGACGAGTTAGAAAAGTTCCATAGAGGCTGTGAGGCCCTCAGCGACTGCTACGAAAAAATCAATCATTGCCCGGATATACAAGATAATAAAGAATCGTTCGATGAAATGAGCACTTGGTGCTCCCTTGTTAAGTTTGTCACTCAAGATATGGCAGAATGTGAGAAAAAAGTGGACAAGAAGAAGAATTTGGCATGCTATAAGGGTTGGAGTCCATTTGATAACTATGTCGACATGAAGAACGAGAAAAATGTTCAGGATGTGTGCAAAAACTTTTTTGGAAATGGTAATTGTCTTAAGAAGGTGATCACTGAGGCCTGTGGTACAAGCGATTGGGAGAAGCTGAAGAATGTATGTTGAAAGTTTATTGAAGTTGAGAAAAAGTATTTTTTTTTATTTCAGAAGCTAATGTCCATGACTGATAAGACCAAGGAATGCGACTTCAAAGGAATTATCTGATTTTGTTGTTTTTAATTAAAAATTGAAATTCTGAAATAAACATGGTTTAATATATAATGTACCGTACTGAAGAAAAATAGATTTCCAGAACTTTTTCAGTAGAAACTAGTCGGAGCCCTAGAACAAAATCTCAGAATTTTTTGAAATTTCGGAAACCCTAACCATCAAAAATTGTCTTTCTTTTAATTAAAAATTAGACAATACAAAACCCAAGGATCTCCAGGACCATACGTCATTGGATTTTCCAATTTTCTAATAGATCAAATTTCCTGATACAGAAATGAAAATTTTCTCAAGTTTGGAAAAAATTTACGGAACGGGAGAATGCAGTCTATAAGATTTAATCTCAAGAAAAGTTTTTCATCCGAAAATGTATCGAAGACTGAATCCTGATTCTGAATCCAGTGACTTCAGAATTTTGCCATCAATGTTTGATGCCCGACCAGATTTGGCCCGCCCATAAAATGAGAGAAAAAAATAGTGGATATAAAAAGATAATGAGACCCTGTTGGCAAAAATTTTTCTCTTTCATTTGTTTCAGATAATGTGGAAAATAGTCCAGCCAATTGGATTGAACAAGACATATCTGAAATTATTGATTTTGTTCTCATTTTTGTTTTTTCTATGTCTTCTGCTATCCTTTCCAGATTTCTATGGAGATAGGTGAGTGAAAGTTATAGAATTTTAGAATTTTAGAATTTTGAAATTTTTGAATTTTTGAATTTTTGAATTTTTGAATTTTTGAATTTTTGAATTTTTGAATTTTTGAATTTTTGAATTGTAGAGTTTCAGTATTTTAGAGTTTCAGAATTTTAGAGTTTTAGAATTTTAATATTTTAGAATTTTAGAATTTTAGAATTTTAGAATTTTAGAATTTCCAAATTTCCAAATTTCTGGACGTTATAATCTCAGAATTTCTTTTTTCTAGTTCTTCAGTTCAACATTTTTAGCCTGGATCCTGACATTCCTTGCTATGTGGAACCTTGGAATCAAGTTCATACAAAAATAGTGCCAAACGAGGAGCTCCATTGGGAATGGGCCCAACAAAATATTTCAAGAAGAGACAATATTTTGGGATCCGAAGTTCGATTGTTGTCGGCTTTTGTCTATGAGGATTACATTTCAATAACGACAACGTCTCAGAAATCTTATGGGTAGGAAGTTTGAATTTGGATTTCTGAAAAGTGTATCGAAAACTGCTCCACTGATTGAATTTTTCATTTTTCAATACTTTCCACACGAAATTGTTTACATTACAGCATCTGATATATCAGACCAAAAAGATATTCAGACAATTTATATGGAAAGTAGTCAACTCTGAAGTCTCGAAAAAATAATTCTGAAATTTTCAGAGTACACTAAACACAATTAGAGCCTCACTTTGTAACTGAAAAAATTTCATTTTTGCTACGGAATCACGCGCACACACACACGCACACACGCACACACACGCACACACACAAGCCTTCACACATGTGCAGAAGAGTTTCTAAAATAAAAAGTAGATTTTTGACAGCTACTGGTTTCAAATTAATCTTTTTTTCAGACAATTAATTCATTGCCGATATTTTGACTGCAATAGAGAAGAAATTCCGGATTCGGTATATCAATCATTTTTCTTCCCAATGAATGTAGTGAAGTGCCCAAGAAGAGTTGGAGCTAAATACGTATCAATTGCTTCTAGCAAGTATGCGAAACCCCAGCAACCAATTCCTCTAATCTTCAGAGCCTATCCAAGTAAGTGCGCCCTGCTGAACTCCAGCAGAGCGCGTTTTGAACTATCCAACTTTTTTTCAGGTCCAATGCACGGTATATCTGTCTGCGTTGGCCCATTATACGGTCCTGAAAAAAAGTGGCTGGAAATCGCCGAGTTTATAGAGCACTATAAACTCATCGGTGTCCGGCATTTTTATTTCACAATTTTCAATATGAATGAGTACACTAGAAAAATTATGGACGAGTATACACGGTACGTTTTGTTGCCATTTTTTAATTAACAAATAATTTTGTAGGACTGGAGAAGTTGAACTTACAGTAATCCAGTCGGAGTATGCGAATGTTGATTGGCAATTTCACTTGCTTCAAATTAATGTGAGTTTTTTTTAGATTTGGCAGATTGTCAGGCGCTTTCTAGATCATTCAGCTGTGTGGTCTAGAAAACTAAATTTGCGAAAGTTAGGCCACTATGTCATGAATGCCTATATTACATCGGATGATCTCAGAAAAGGCCAAAATTCTTCAAAGTAAAATTTCAAATTCCTAAGTGCAGCTTGACGGTTTTCTGGGTCGTCTCGAAGTGGTGGTCTAACTTTTGCAAGTTTGGTTTTCTAGGCCACCACATAGAAATGACCTACAATTGGTCTCATATTCACCTGGTGTGTTTTCTAGGTCATTCTGAAGTGATGGCCTAACTTTCGCAAGTTGGGTTTTCTAGGCCACTAGGAAACACGACTCGAAATAGCGCTGACATTAACCGGGCATGTTTTCTAAGCCATTTACCATGTTGGCATAGAAAACTCAACTTGTAAAAGTTAGGCCATGTTGTTAAAATGAGTACCCGACAGGTATATCAGGTCATTTTAAGGTCATAAAAGTTGGTGGCCTAGAAAAACTCAACTTGCAAAAGCTAGATTTTTTTCTCGAAAATTTCCAATTTTTAGGAATGTCACCAACGTGCCAAATATCATTCAAAGTGGGTGATAAATGCAGATATCGATGAAAGGCTTGTGATGCTGAATGGGACACTCCAGGATCTCATTCGAAGACAAGAACAATCAATTAGTGAAATTAACTTTGCAGTTCAACGAGTTATGAAAACCGATTTGCTTCCAGAAGTCTATGAAAATGATGAGCAGGTGGGATTTGAGCAAAATGCTGACCTTTTTTAAAGAACTTTTTAGATCCTTCGAGAAATGATTTTCACCAAGTACAACATTTCTGCGGATGTGGTATGGAAGGCGGCAAAGTGTATGTACCGGCCGGAGAAGGTAATAGAGCAATTATCTCGGTTTCTATGAGAGACATTAGAAATGGGCCAATTGATTAAATGTTTATCATTTTATCACTAAAATTTTATCAATTAAAACATTTCTGATATCTCTAATAGGAATTGAGATAATTGAGTCCAAATTTATTTTTCCAGACCGCGTCCATGTACTATCACTGGTCCTATATCAAATACCCGGGGTACAACGCAGCGTGGATTGGTCGGAACCAAGGATACTTTCTTCACTACCGTACCACCTCAGCTACAGGAATTGGAAGCGGATGGTTGGATCATGCGAACTACAAAAACTTTCAAGAACGTCCGAATCCCATCACTTTTGCAAATGAGCTCCGTGAAAATGTTCTCCGGAAAATCAAATACGTCTATGATCGGCGCATTTTGTATTGTGAAGAGCTGCCGGACGCTGTGTACCAGGAATACATAGTTTATGGACACGAAACTTTCCACTGCAAATTCAAAAGTGAAGTTGAAAATGAGCAGCGGAAAAAGTTAGAGCTAGAAAATTCCACTATGATCTCAAGGAAGTAATTAGATTCATTGAAGCTCAGTTATCTCGGGTCCTATAAAAGGTATCCGAAAATTCTAAAATGTTAAAATGTTGGTGATAATATGATAAAGATCTTATCAGTTTTACATATTGCTAATAGGAGCCAAGATGATTGAGTGCAAGCAATTATTTTTTTCTCGTATTTTCTTATCTTCTCTATTAATAAATCATTCAGACTTATACGCATTATGATAATGAGTAATCCAATTGAATATAAAGCAAACGATTTCTATTTTCGTAAAAACGGATAAAAGTTCAAGTTGGATCAAGCATGCTTTAAGGCGTCGGTAGGACGGATTATCCAGCCTATTTCAGATATTTCTCCTTCGCCACGCACAGGATTTGTATTATACGATTTTTGGATTTTCACGTACATTATGTTGTATGATCAAGGATTTGGGTGCAACTCTCAAAGAACTCATTTTCATTGACTCTGTATTTTGGTTGTCAAATGATATTTTGGAATGTATTTAAAAAAACGGTTTTTGAACTTGTACAATACTAAATACCGTGACCTCCCTCTTCTTATTTATAACTTTGAGCCCAATTATTTCGCTTCATGAGAAAGATATCAAAACGCGGTCAACTGACAAGATATTTTTGATATTGTGATGAACAATTTATCAGTTGACAACTTTTTCATATCGTTCACAGAAAATGAGATTTATGAGCTCAAAAAAGACGGTTTGAGCTGCACGGTCGCTGCCGTCTCTAGAGACCTCGTGGCTCAATCGGTAGGAATGCCACACATCGTCTTTTGCCCACAGGTTCGACTTCCCTAGGAGTTTGAAACGGCTCTTTTCTAGTTTAGAGGTCCGGAAAAAATTTCGAGGTCCCAAGAAAAAATAGAGGTCCCAAAATAAAATAGAGGTCCGAATAAAATTAGAGGTCCCAAAAAAGTTTAGAGGTCCCAAGAGAAAACAAAGGTCCGATATTTGAAAAGCGCGCAGGTATTAGAATAATGTGCCAAAATTTGGAGTTTTGAGTTTTGAGGCTCTCTAGGATGATAAGAGCGGAAATGTGACTTCTCCTGATAGTTTTGGCTCCATTTCTTTTTTGTCTTCCTTATGAACCCCAATTTACATACAAGCAAAATGTCGGCAAACAGTAATGCTTCCGTGAATAAAATTTCTCTCAGGCTTAGCTATTTTTCAGAAAATATGCATCTCTAAGCCTAGTAGAAGTATAAAATATACCATCAACACCTATTTTTTTAATAAGACCACAAAATTTTAATTTTTTACACAGTTTAAATTCTGTTACACTGTTCCAATATCTGTGCGTTTTTCAAGTTTTGGACCTCTATTTTTTCTTGGGGCCTCTAAACTTTTTTGGGACCTCTAATTTTTTTCGAACCTCAATTTTATTTTGGGACCTCTAATTTTTTTTCGGACCTCTAAACTAGAAAAGAGCCTTTAAAACAACATAATTTTTGATTTTTTGGCTCCTCTCACAACTTCACCCAAAATCTCACAAAAATCTCACTCAAAAACTACATAATTTTAGCATTTTCTATTTTCAACATAAATTCAATTTATTTTTTAATTCCAATACCTATTTTAATATCTCCTCTCCAAACTTGTTATTTCAAGCTCAATAACGTTTTTCCTGTTTTTCAGGAACAATAATTTCCGTAATCTTTTTGTTTGTTTTATTTTTGATATTTTTCCCGTATTCTCACTTTTCTCTTTTGCGGAAAAAAAACACTCCCTTTCAAGTTCTCCCCCCATCTTTTCACATCAATGTCCAAATCTAATTTTAGGAGAAAAAAAATGTACCTAACACTTTTTTTTGGATACATTTCAATTTTATTTTCAACTTCCCCCTTTTCATTTTATTCCAAGATGGCGTCGAGCAATGATCATTTTTCCATTTCGCAAAATGTTCTCTCAAGTTCTTGATCTTTTTTTTTTTGAAAAGATGGATTAAAGTTTTCTATTGTTTTTTATGGATGTGTACTATGTACTTCGAGAATAATCCCAAAAAAATTGTATACATGTTAATTTTTTTAATACTTACAACGGGCCGGGCCGTGTCAAAGCGACAACTTTCCTGGCCCGGCCCACGCCCCTGACGCTTCAAACAGTTGGCTGGTGCGCCTTCGGTGCGATTAAATCTATATCACTTACTGTTTGTCGCTTCGCTTCCTTCAATTTTTCTTTAGTTGCTAGAATCGTTAATTCCTTATCAGTGACACATTTCCATCATTTCTTAAGTCTTTAAATGTAGATCACACGTTTTCATCTTAATCCAGTTCTTTGATAAAAACAAATACTGCTGAAAAATTTCAGAGCCTTGTTTACTAAAAAGAAGGATGTGTTTTTTTCCAGTAAAGGATGTGTTTTTTTCCAGTAAGGAAATAATATTTGCATTTTTTTCGAGTATGCCTGCTCATTTCTCATTATTTCTCATTATTTTTTAATATGAAAACAGATCAATCATTGGAATAAAACACGACATTTGTGCTGAAATTCGTAGCGTTTTTTATAGCCTGTTTTTGTTACTCTTATTTTTTCTTTAATTTTTGAGTTTAAAAAAAAAGAATTTTCCGAAAAGAATTTGTAACTTTTTCCGCTGTCCCGTAAAGACGCTGAAAATGCTAAAAATTCAAAAATTGCAAAAATGCTAAAAGTGTATGAAAAAGGGCAATCTTAAATACATATTTTCAAGCCCAAAATGATGAAAATGTCAAAAAAAAGAAAACGAAAAATCAAATAATTCAAGCAATAGAAATTCATAAATTCCTAAAAATACAAAATTTCTAAAAGCTGTAAAAATATTGGACAATTTGAAAATAAAAGTTTTTTTTTTGAATTCTGATATCCACGGAAAAAATTTATATCCTTTTAAAAGTGTTTAAACTACAGAAAGTCCAGAAAGTTGAAGAATTCAGAAAATTCGAAAAATCTGAAAGTTCGGGAGTCTGCAAACAAAGTGCTAGGTACCAGTGATGGGAGGAAACGCAATTTCCGAAATACGGAAAACGGAAACGGAAAGGGAAATTTTTTTTCCGCGGAAACGGAAACGGAAAAAAATTTTCAAAACTTCTAGGTACCTGAAAATAATCACTAGAAGGTGTATAAAAAATTCACAACTTTCTGAAAATTCTGAAAATCTGAAAAATCCTAAACCTCTATTTTCAATTTTACCATTTCCACAAGTTTCTGAAATGTTATTTCTTATTTGTATTCCCTCAAAACTTTCCTCAAGTTTCAAATTCCAATACATTTCCAGAATGACTTCATTTTTTACAACGCCATCGCCAGCCAGCAATCTTGACAAGGAACAGATGTATCTAGAAGAATGGATGCACAGTTCACGTCTTCTATTTTACTCTGTCATCTGTATTTCTCTATTCACTCTTCCGATTCTAGCAATTTCATTGTGCTATATTCGCTTCAAAATTCACCTGAGCGCTCACTTTCTCCCATATTTCTACTCAATTTTGATTGCGAATTTCATATTATTAACTACTTTATTTGCAAGTGTCATTGCGAAAAATACAGAGAGCGCTTATGGTGAGTGACCCAGAAAATACTCGGTCATGAAAAAACGTTTCAGATGCCATCCCAGGATTATTGGTTTGCAAACTGGCTGCATTTCTTGTCAACTCATCTTCCAGCTTCATCCATTGGACATGGGTAGCCATGTTTGCAGAGGTATTGATTTTTTTTTTCTGAATTCAAAAATGTCTGAAAAATTTCAGCGATGTTTCTACTTCTATTCCCCACTCCGGTATCGAGTTTATAGCTCATTTCGAACCAAATCAGTGATCACTGGAATCGCCATTTTTTCCATGTGCATACAGTTTTGGATTCCAATTTTTATTACTGAAAAACGGTTGATTGGGGAAACGGACAATATTTATTGTGGAGAGGAACCGAGTCATTCCAGGTGAGTATTCCTATTAATGTCTGAAATTTTGAAAGATGTCTGAAAATTCTACAAAATTCCCTGAGTTTTTTCAATAATCTATTGTATTTATATCGGAACTTTCGGATATTCCCCATTTTTCTGAATTTTCTACAGTTGGGAGTTTTCGAAAAGACCTCTATTTTTTGAAATTTTGAGTTTCTGGATTTCTGGATTTCTCGTTTCCCGAAATTTTCCAAATTTCATGGTCATTCAAAAATTTCCGAACTTTCAGATTACCAGTCGGTTTACGCCCCCTATCGGGGGGCTCAACCTCCTGACTTCCGCTTACTGTATCTTACAATCCAATTTCTAAATTCAAAATTTCCGAATTTCCGAAGTCACAAAGGTTTCTCAGGAACAGTCGGTTCGTGCCTTTCCGGGCTGAACCTCATGACTCCCTCCCACGGTACATATATTATAGACAGGTTTTGTCACTTTTTCAGGGACTATTTTTCATGGTCTGCTAGGAAATTTCGAAATTCGATATTTCGAATATAAAGAATTCCTAGAATCCGGAAAGTCGGAATAAAACAAATCCAGAAATTGAAAAGTAAGAGACTCGCAGTTTCGTAAATTTAATTAGTAAATTCAGAAAATCAGATTAGTAAAATATTAATTTTGAAATTTAGATATCGGAATTTAGTGTATCAGATTTCGAATTGGAAAGTTTAGCATTTTGCATAGTTAATAAATGCCGGGCTGGCCTGAGGCGGCCCGGCCGAAATGTATGGAAATTCGAAAGTTGTGAAAGTCAGAAATATCCTAATCTAGACTTTCTGAGTTTTCTATCATTCAAATTTACTCATTTTCGAATTCGCTACTTTCTGAATTACCGAATGCCCTTCCTATTTTTTGAAAATCCAGGAAATCAGATATTTTGAAACTTTTGACTTGAAAATCTCAGAAAACCGGAATTCCAAAATTCGGAAAAGTAGAAATTCGGAGACCTAAAAATGGGAGATTCTGAACCGAGTGGACAACTTCTGCTTTTAATACCCATAATCATGCAAAAAACTGCAAATTAGTTAGTCACTTTTTCACTTTTTTCGGTGTTCGAAAATTCTAAATTTCGAAAACTTAGAAACTCCGAAATTTGGAATTCTGAAAAGTTGGAAAGTCAGAAATTTTGGAATTTTTTTGCAGATTCGGTGAATTGATGTCAGAAATTTATATGCCGTAAAACCCGTATTAGAAGGGCCGGCCATTTTATTGTTCCAAGGTATCTCCGGGAGGCCCTTCTATCACAGGAACCCTTCAATTAGAGGGGGCCCTTCTATTTTTCCGGTCATTTTTTCCGTAATTATTCATTGAAAAATTCGACGATTTTTTGCTCAAAATTCATGAAAAGCTATCAATTTCACCAAAATTGATCAATATTTTTTCAAAAAAAGTTTTTAAACAAATTTCTATCAACTTGTGGAATTCCCCGAATGTTTTTTACTGAAAACGTACGCAGTCTTTGAATTTCAAAAAACATTTTGAAGAGGATCCTTTTTTACAAACGGCATTTCTAAAACGGGGGTCATTCATTTTTTTCAAGCCTCTCTCGGAGGGTCCTTCTATTAGAGCGGCTCTTCTATTGAAGGGGCTCTTTTAATACAGGTTTTACGGCATTCCGAAATTCGAAAATTATGAAATTATGTTCGAAATTTTTTTCTAAGATTCTAAAATTCTGAAATTCTGAAATTCTGAAATTCTGAAATTCTGAATTCCTGAATTTCTGAATTTCTGAATTCCTGAATTTCTGAATTCCTGAATTTCTGAATTTCTGAATTCCTGAATTTCTGAATTTCTGAATTCCTGAATTTCTGAATTTCTGAATTCCTGAATTTCTGAATTTCAAATTAACTAAATACACTGACCATTTCCTAGTTTTAGAAAAAAAAATTTTTGGGAATCGTTTTGGTTTTTCTTCCCAAAATTAAAAAATTCAGAATGTAGAATTTATAAGACGTGGAATTTCCGAATTTTCTAAAGTTTCTAGAACATTTGAAATGTCGGTGTTGCCCCAGATGTTTCAAAAACCCTAATTTCATTTTTTTTTCAGCCAAACCCAACTGATTTTATTTCTCGAATGCATTTGCACATTTTTCCTCCCACTGATTCTCACCATTCTTGCCGACATCTCAATTTTCACATGGAAAAGTTCCTGGGGAGGAATTTCGTTCAATTTAGTTCCCAAAGAAGAGATACAAGGAAAAAGTAGCGATAGTATGAAGATTGTCTCATTGAGAAGTGTCAAGGTATGTTTTTCAGGATTTTTGAAAAAAAAATTTAAGGATTTCAGAATTCCAAAAAGCGAAGGATAAATGCAATTCGGAGATGTTTGATTTCGGCTACGATTACGTTGTTTCTAAATCTTCCCAATTACAGTTTACAGGTAATTTTTAGATGAAATTTTTGAAAAACGATCCGGGATCTTCGACCTGTCTGAAAAATTTAGAGTTTACAAAAACAAATATTTTCAGCTACTCGACGAGTTTTTCAATTTTCGCGAGAGTGAGTCTATTGATGTTCGACGGATCTTTTTAAGGGTAAATTAGCACAACTTCGAACTTTTTTAAGTTTAAGATTATTGTTTTCAGATTGATGCATTTGTTTATATTCTGTTTCTCATGCAATTCCCAATAACACCAATTCATATTTTCACACTCTCAAGGACCAGGACTCGGAAAGCATCGTATGGGATTTTGATTTTTTGAACATTCTTTTTTTCAACGAAAAAATTCCAGACGCCAATTCAGCCTACCAATTGTTCTGTGAGACATGGACATGGGCTGCTAAATCTGAAAATCTTGAACCAAAATAAATCTTGTATCTATAATAGTCATTTTGTTAATTTCCAGACTTTCACTGAAAAATTAATCACCGGTTTTCTATTTGCTAAGAATGTCCTCGAAATTGTATTCTCACGAGCCCTGAACTTTTGAATTCTTGGCGATCGAAATTCTTGTCTTTTGAAATTTTCGTTTTACCTGGTTCTCGTCAAAATTCCAGCCAGTTTTCGAATAACAAATTGCAAAGATATTTCTCAGCTTTTCAGCCTCCACCACTTTCAAAAATAATGAATTTCACCAATTGGATTCACGGATTTCCCGAGTATCTCAATTTTCGATATGAACTGAATTTTGGGATTTTATTGGCAGTTATTCCATTAACTTACAGTTTTCCAACTATGATAGTAATGTGGAAAGTGTACAAGGGGTGTAAAGTTTTATCATCGAAAGTTTCCAAAGTGACAATGGATTCGCACTTGTTCACATTATTGATGCTCTACTTTTTAGCGGTAAGAAATCGAAATCGAGAAAAAATCTACTGGCAGTAACGGAGCAATAGAAATATTTTGAACTTTAGTGAGCAAGAACCTGAAAATCATATTCCGAGCCAAAAATTGTTACTTCTTCTGAATCTTCAGTGTGTTTTTCGAGTAATAAGACGTCGTTGTTCTTTTCCAAGTCTTATACCAAGTGAAAACGAAAAACACGAGTTTGGCAGCAATCAAAAAACTACGTGGAACTGTTGTTAGCAATGAAGTTAGACTGTTTGTTGTGAAAACGAAGAGTTGGCGATCTCCAGTTTCCACCAATTTCAAACATGGATGTTCTTGAATCACGTCTGCTCTTGCTGATTCTTGCTCAGGGATATTCAGATAGGAGGGTAGAAGACAAACTGGTACCGCTGGTGGGCGCTTCCACTCCCGCCACCGTAGCGCAGCTGGTAGCGGCGAGGCACCTTCAACGGCGTGCCCACAAGGGAATTTTCCAGAGAGACTTGAATGAACACAATTTAGAGGAACCTTCTTTTCATTCAAACAACCGAAAGCACTGTACGTCGTTAAGCTTTGAGAACTCTCCTACTCCAAATCATTTTTTAGCTCGGAAATTATCTAGCTTAACTGACGGCGTTTTTTTATTCTCTCAGATTCTATTACTACAACATTACCTGTTATCAGACATGAGCGGAATAAAATTTTAGAAAATCCGGAAGAAGGAATAAGGAATAAGGAATTCCGCTCATGTCTGCCTGCTATACAACAGCATCCAATGTAAAACAAGATGTCTGGAGCATCAATGAGGCCAAGACCAAAAGCTAGGAATATATGCGTAAGGCCTTCCAACACAACAGTGTTGTGAAAACACACCATAAAATCTGACAGCATACACCAGATATAAAGGTTCAAAAGCAGATTTTTCACTTGTTTTAGATTAGCAGGCGTCTTGTAAATGATACAGTAAACACCAAATGTGAACGGAAAGAGTTCTATGAAACTGATAGACTGGAAAACTTGGGACAATAGTTCCGGACTGGCCAGATAGCTGGTATCAGCGGTGCAGTTTTGCATTTTGAAAATCTGGGCCAAAAAAAGATGTTGTCGTATTTTCTTTGTTGTCAGTGAATGTGATGAGCAGTGCCGAATTTTTGAATGAAAAACTAGGCTGGCCAAAATGGCGTTTTCTGGCGCCACACGCCGCTTTTAATTTTTGCACTGGCGGTGCCAGTTTTTAAAGTGGCGTGAATCGCCAGTAAAATTTTTCACTGGCGATTAGACGCCAGGATTTTTAAATATGAGTTTTTCAATAGAAAATACTTCATAGAGAAAAGCTTGAAAAAGAAAAAAAACGACTGATGATCCGAAACAGTGAAATGCTTACATGATGAACTTTCCTCTTTTTCGATACATTTCGGATCAAATAAATATCATCTTTTGATTCTTCAGAACTGAGTCTTGATTCAGACATTGTGAAAATAGTCAGAAGAAAAAGAACAAATCAGAGAAGAGGAACCAAAATATATATGAACAGGCGGTCGGATAGTTGTGGTTTCATGTGGGAAAAACAGACCAAAATGTGGAAAAAAATAGGCCAACGTGAGCCAAATAATAAAAAACGATCCGGAAAATATTTTTTGTTGATCCGGAATACCATGTTTGCTTCAACATTTTGTAATTTTTATTCTTTGATTTGAACCTCATTTATCTCAGTTCTTGTGAAACATATGACAAAATAATCAACTGATAGAATGTTCTCCTTAAAATTTGAAGCATTTCATCAGTTAACGGTTTTCTGCTATCTTTCATAAGAACTGGGATAATCAAGATTGAAGTTACAGTGAGGGGATTATGGTGAATCAAAAGGTAAATTCTATTCTCAAAAAGAAAGCGGCGTTTGACGCCGGTTTAAATTTTAATATTGCCTGTTTGAAAATTTCGCTGGCTTTTAATGCAAATTACGTGAAATTGAATGGCCCATAGCTCTGGCACTGGCGGCCAGCAACACCCTATGAAAAACAATGTGAGTCAGACTGCATCATAGCACACACGGGTATCTTGTATTAGTCAAGATAATTACAGAATACAAAAAATTAAACTTGCTTCATTTCTGAAGTTGGTTTTTTTCAATTAAAAAATCGAGTTTGGTGAAGGAAGTAAAATGTGAAGCAAAGTGTGGAATTCTCTGGTTTTTTTATGAACTGGAATTACACTGGGGTTAAAGGCATAGTGTAGAAGTGTTCTTGAAATTGAGTTTTCTTCATATATTTTGTTTTTTGAAGTTTCGGGAACACTTAGGCAGGTCAAAGCGTGACTATGAGTTTTTCATTGTATTCTTTCTGGAAATTCGGCGAATGGGGGGGGAGGGGTTTCCAGCTGTCTCGGTAATCATATTACTGTTTTAGAATCAAAGTCGTAACAATAAACAACAATTAATGATACTTTGAAGGAAGGGATACAGGAAAGTGTCCTAGGGGTTTTTTTGGAGTTACGTTATAATTCTTCGAGGGACTCAGATGAACAAAATGTCCAAATTTTTTTCCAGTTCTACCCTGTATTAAAGGTACAGGACAATTCCACTTACTGTTAGAGTTTTCATTTTCAAGTGATTATGTATATATTTCGAACATTAAATTATCCTCCCCTGCGTTGTGCTTTGAACATCCGGAGCTGACCCAACTGGAGTAATATAGTTGGAATTTGGGCAAAACATTAATTTCAACAAATTTTTCGAAAATAAAATGTCTGCATTTCTCTTGTTGCAAAATAAGTATGACAATTGAACAATTATAGGAGTGTTCAAAAAGTCCATTTCGATAGCAAACTCGATTATCTGAAATTTGGACTTTCAAAAATTTTCGAAATATTAGAGTAAAATTCCAACCGGATCAATTCGATATTCCAGACGATAATATAAGAATAACATATACGGGTAGTGAGCCTAAATTGATTTTTCAACAAAAAAATATAAAAAAATTTGATCTACCGTTCTGAACACCAAACAAATGAGACACTGATAAAGTACATATTTCTGTGGCTTGTTTTGTATGACACTAGCCAAATGAGCATGTTTTCGGACACTTATCATAATAGGAATGTATAAAGTTGACGATGCGAAAAATAAAGCGTCCAGGGAAAAGTAATAGTACTGAAATTACTTAAACGTTTGGACGAGTTTTCTCTATTTCCATGAAAGATATCGAAAACTTAAAAGGTATGGAAATTTGATTATTTTATGAATAACATTTTATCAGTTGAAAAATTTTCGATATCTCTCTTAGGAACCGAGATAATTGAGCTCAAATGGTAGCATACTATTTGAGCATTTATCTGTTGGTCCGAATGAAAAAATATGGACCACAAACTCACAAAATACGGTGAAACCTTTTTTGAGCCGGTAATCGGGATAATTTCAAAAGCATTGAAAATTAAGAAAAACAAAACAAAAATCGATGTGATCCCATAAATCCATTTTACACAAAGGCCCATATTTTTAGCCTCCAGGTTCACATAAGGCTCAGCGATTGGGAAAAAGTAGATCATGAATCTTTGAAGGGTCACCAGAGAAATTAATAAACAGTGTACTCGTGTAAAAAGATGTAAAGTGAATTGATTGGTCCAATGGAAGAGCAAAAATGAGGATTCTTTAGAGGCACTCCAGAAGTCGAGGATTCTGATAACATTTTTCAAAAATCAGATTTTAAAAAAATGGATTTACTCATTTTCATAGTCATCATCATTGGATTCTCCAAGAGATGCCACTGAAATATAAAAATGATAAATAGTCATTATCAATCCCATAATAAGAATGAATTTCAGTGCAAAATGATAATGATTCATGATTGGATAAGCTGCAGTCTGCAAAATTGGGTTCATGGGTTCATGGGTTCATGGGTTCATGGGTTCATGGGTTCATGGGTTCATGGGTTCTTGGGTTCATGGGTTCATAGGTTCATGGATTCATGGGTTCATGGGTTCATTGGTTCATAAGTTCATGGGTTCATGGGTTTATGGGTTTATGGGTTTTTGGGTTTTTGGGTAAAAAGTCTATAATTGAAATTCGAATTACCGCTTTCTCCTTCTCCCGATTCAACTGATACACATGCGTATAAAATGGGTAGATAATAATAAGACTGAATATGAATCCAATATAGAAAATTTGGTGAACTGTAAAAGCTATAACATACTCCGTGGACCATTGGGAAATGTATGTTATATTCATAATTGGAGAAAAGGAAAGAAACTATAATTTTTAGGAAACTAGAGAAAGAAAGCCAAAAAAGCAGGTGAAAAAAGGCTTCAGAAAGTAGTTCAGAGAAACAAGTGACTGAGAAATATTTTGGGAATTTTGAGATTTTACACTTTCCAGCCACGCGATTGGGTTTGGGAAATAACGTTCTGAGTAATGGAACAGTGTCTCTTTGAGCTGCTAATTTATCTCGGATCCTTTAGGAGATATCAAAAAGTTGTCAAATGAAAAAATATTTTTGACATTATGATAAACACTTCGTCAGTTGACCGCTTTTGGATATTGTTTACTGAAAATTAGATATATGGGATCAAAGTTAGCAAAGCATTCTATTAGCGTGGGAACAGTAATTCACTTCGGGTTATATAATACAGTTCATATTCTTGCAAATTGTTCAGATTCTATAGAAACCGATAAGCACCAATCTGTTCATCATAATATACACAATATGATTTCAACTGGTTTCATCATATACCTCTGCTCTTCTTATCTTCCCTATAAATTATGATGCTGATAATACCAGAAAAGTTCAGTATTTTAACTTTATATTATTTGAAAAAAAATATTTTCAAAACTATGAAAACCCTCATTGCTTTGTTGGTTACTCTCTTCATAGCATCCGCAGAAATCCATCAATTCCAAATCGGATACCGGCCGAATCTTCGCCAACGTCTGCAAGCTCAAGGAAAACTAGCCGAGTATGAAAAAGAGAGAAACGAAGTGCTTTCAAAAAAGGGTGTCCAATTGGCACAATCATCTTCGCCGATTATTGATTATGAGGACATGGCGTACATGGTCCCGATTAGTTTAGGGACACCACCTCAGAATTTTGTCCTTTTTATCGATTCGGGTTCTTCGAACTTGTGGGTGCCAGATGTTACTTGTGCTGGTGGAAAAGATGCAACATGTGGAAGTTACTGTAAATCGGTGAGTCTGAAATTTATGTTGAAAACTCTATGGATTTTCTGTGCCACCGTAGTTGATGATCCATAAATGACCTTACCGTAAAACCAGTAATAGAAGGGTCCCTTCACTTTAAACGTTACGACAATTTATCTTGGTTCCAGTGATAGTAATGAAAAAGTTGTCAACTGATAAATTGTTTATCATAATATCCAAAACATTTTATCTGTTGACACTTTTTTCTCAAAGGAGCTGACTATGAGATAATTGAGCTCATATGTATATTCACCGGACAAGTTTTCTAGGACATTTTAACATCGTGGCCTCACTTTCGCAACTTCAGTTTTCTGGGTCATCATTGTAAAGGACCTAGAAAACACAACACCTGTATAATAGGCATTTTCTAGATCATCGAAGTTGATGGCCTAGAAAAAGTGAAAGTGTGAAAGTTAGGTCACCATGTGAAATAGCGTAGAAGACACACAGAATGAACTTCTGACTTTGTGAGTAAAATGCTAGTATTTCGAAAAACACTACGACACTCCGAAATAACGCATTTGCCCCAGATAACCAATGTTTCAGACCCCTTACGACGCTTGCCTCACATTCTGTCAAGAAGAGTGCTGTACTAAAAGTGTCAAAGTTTCAGCGTAAGCTTTCCTGCTCCTCGAGCACATCCAGAGCAAATTTCAGCAAGGCTGACGCATGTCAATCCAAACACCGTTTCAACTCTTCCCTATCCTCCTCTTATGTTTCCGATGGTCAAAAATTTGATATGACTTACAACACTGGGGAAGTCAAAGGGTTCTTTGGAGTCGACACGTTTTGTGTGAGTCTTCCTCCCATTTCTGATGTCTTCTCTATTTTCAGTTCACAAACACCTCCGTCTGCGTCAATGGCCAGCAATTCGGGCAAGCCACAACGATCGGAGAGGCATTCGGAAAACAACCTGAGGATGGAATCATTGGTCTCGGATGGCCAGCTCTGGCCGTCAACCAGCAGACCCCACCTATGTTCAATTTGTTGAATCAAGGAAAACTGGACCTGCCGTACTTTGTAGTGTATCTAGCGGAAATCGGACCAACGTCGCAGATTAATGGCGGCGCGTTCACTGTTGGAGGTCTGGATACAACTAATTGTGATGCCAACGTTGACTGGGTGCCGTTGACTAGTAGAACTTTTTGGCAGTTTAAGCTTTCTGGGTGAGAACCAAATTGGATTTTTTGAAAATCTGAAACTAAGTATTTCAGAGTCTCATCAGGATCCTACACACAGACACCATCATCCGGCTGGCAAGCTGCTGCAGACACTGCGGCCTCTTTCATCGGTGCCCCTAAAAGTGTGGTAATAAGTCTAGCGAAGGTGTAAGTGGTCCAAGGGTACATTGGCTCAGGACTCATGGATACCTATGTACTCAATGAGCCCGGTGTACCCCCTTTTGATTTCTCTGTAGTATGGGTCCAAATTTCCAGCATCGGTGCCACCTATGTCCCTCTCACTGGAGCATTCTTCATTGACTGTGACGCTGTCACTCCTGACATTGTTTTCACCATCAACGGGAAGACATACAACATGCCATCATCGTCATTCGTAGTGTCTGCCGGACCTGGACCATGCATGTTCGCGTTTTATGAGTTGAGTGCTGGAGGGTTCTATCCATCTTGGATGCTCGGACCACCATTCATGCGAGCTTTCTGTCATGTACACGATATGCAGAATGGAAGACTTGGATTGGCTAATATTAAGTGAATTAGAACTATTTACATATTTTAATGAAGTTTCGTAAAATTCTCTTGAATGTTACCTTGAATGTTACCTATTCTCTTGAATGTTCTCTTGAATGTTACCTAGAAGATGTTCGATTCTGCGTACGTGACTTTCTCTAATTGAAAAAAATTGGCATCATTATGACATCATCTTTTTCACATTCAGGACTAGACACGCTCTTCTTTTCAAGACCGTACATCTGCCAATGTACGTCACAGAATCAGTCTTTGTACATCAAATATCACTTGCCTTTTGTCGTCACCTTCGAAAAAAGATGACGGTTCAAAACCACTTCTCTTATCATCATCATCTGTTTCTCTCTTCACGTGTGTAGATTTCTGAGACAACAGAACCAAAGACGTTTCAACCATAAAACCCCCAAACTTTCCGATGGAAAAAGGCGGAGTCTCACAGAGAACAACCATCTGTCCTCGGTCTCTTATATAACCTTTCGATTCTATCTATGGAACCATCAAATTCTCTCACTTTTCACTTCAAATAACAAAAATGAAAGTGTCTTCTGCCTTCGCTGAAATCGTCTCTGAATTCTCTGGATTCCAACAACTTCATGCTTCTAAATCCATCACATCTTTGTCTACAATTCCGTCAAGAAAGTCTTCAACATCATCTGAATCCATGCCACGTCACTCTCTGAACATCACCGTCGGAGCTGCTCAACTGACCAGAAACAACAGTTCCAGCAGCCTCAACTCCACTGTTTCCTATCTTGTCGTTGAATAATTTCAATTTTTGTTATTTTATAATTTTTGTGTCATGACCTCAATATAATTTTTGATCTCAAGAAATAAATATGTTCGATGATAGAATGTTGTTTTTGTTTGTACGAAATAATGAAAACAAGAACTTCAAAAAGTCCGTTTTTACACCACAAGTACACTTTGAATACAGTTTCCGTTTTTTAATGAAAAATGAAGCAAGTTTAAATGAATTCGAATATGGATTTGAGTTCCACGTTTACCTAAATAGCTTCCGCGGCTGAAACGTGAACATAGTTAGCAGACCTTGTTCAGATTTTGGAAGTTGAACGAAGGTAGCGACGACGATCGATTAGAATGTATCGATTAAGATGAAAATTACTCTATCTGCAAATGAAGTAAGGTTGCTTAGTCCCATTCCAATCTGCCTACAGCCAATTTTTCTTCTTCTCGAACGAATTATCAGCAATTTGACATGATCTGCAGAACATTTTGATCTACGAAACTGGACACGTTTTTACGAGGTCGTACATCTGTACGCAGCCGACATACGTCACAGAATCAGTCGTGGCGTCTCAAGTATCAGTTCCATTATCATCATTTTTGAAGATAGATGACGATTGTGAACCACTCTTCGTCATCATCATCATCTGTTCCTCTCTTCACGTGCCTAATTTCTGAGACAATAGAATTGAAGACGTTTCAACCATAGAACCTCCAAAACTTCCGATGAAAATGGGCGGAGAACCACAGAGAACAACCATCTGTCCTCGGTTCTCCTATATAAACCCCATGATTCTATACATCAAACCATCCAATTCTCTCACTTCCCATTTCAAACTACAAAAATGAAAGTGTCCTCTGCCCTTGCTGAAATCGTCTCTGAATTCTCTCGATTCCAACACCTTCATACTTCTAAATCCAACTCATCTCTGTCTACTGCTCCATCCAGAAAGTCTTCAACGTCATCTGAATCCATGCCACGTCATTGTCTGAACATCACTATCGGAGCTGCGCCACTGACCAGAAACAACAGTTCCAGTAGTCTCAACTCGACTGTTTCCTATCTTGCCGTTGAATAATTTTGATATTCGTCGTGTTATAATTCTTTGTCACGATCTCAATATGATTTTTGATCTCAGGAAATAAATATGTTCTATAATAAAATGTTATTTTTATTCATAAGAAAATAATGAAAAATGGAACTTCAAAAAACCTTTGTTAGACTACCGATACACTTAAAGGAGGCCAGACATGAAAAATTTCAAAGTTCTAGTTTTTTGATATATGACACAGTACAGCCAGAAAATATGTATGGCCATCCAACCATAACTCCATTTTGCCGTACAAGCGAGAACGCGAACGTTCTTCCAAGCGGCGGCACACTCCTCGTTTCATAAACGTTTTAGCGGCAGTAGACGGCAAGAGCCGCGTGGTCTAGAGGTGAACGAGCTTGTCTATCGGTCGCGCATCGCGGGTTCGATTCCCATCTGTACGTTTTCGTTTTTTTTTTCTGTTTTCATGCGGCGACATCATGGAATGACAGAATATCGACAAAAAGTCTGGAATTATCGCCTTACATTGAAGAAATCTAGTGTACCCTAAAAAAAATAAATGCTCGTCAAGTAGCGCGCATTGGGTCGCAATCGCACGATTTTCCGTCAGAATACATGATCTCGCACCAAGAAAACTCCTTAGACTTTCATGTCTACCCTCCTTTAAATAAAGGTTCAGTGTGGTACATGATGTTCAAGTTGAACGCATTTATTGGCACATTCGAATGATTCGATATCCAGTATCCTAAAAATTAAATTATGTAACTAAAAAAATAAGCTAGTATACATCACCGAATTTGGATTTGCGTTGCACATTTTTCCTAAAAAGTCTAAAAAGTCTAAAAACCCTGAAAATCCGGAATAAACCTGAAAGTACAAAAGAATAAGGAACCTAACAACTGCCAATAAAATTTGAGCTTGAAAATTGTGTTCAATAACCGCGAAGAGTGTGCTGGCTCATTTTTCAGTAACTCTGATGTACTATTGACAATGCAAATATCTGCATGTCGGGTAAATGTTCAGTCCCATTTCAACCTGTCTATGTGACTTTTGCCAAACGTCTTTTTCTGGAACAAATTGTCTGCATTTTAACACCACCTGCAGAACATTTTCGCCTACGGAACAAGACACGCTGTTTTTTTATGCCGTACATCTGTACGCAGCCGACATACGTCACAGAATCAGTCTCGGAACATTAAATATCACTTGTCTCTTATCATCATCCTCGGAGACAATGATGACAGTTCTAAACAACTTTTCTTCATCATCTTCATATGTTCTTCTCTTCACGTACCTAGATTTCTGAGACAACAGAACCGAAGACGTTTCAACCATAGAACCTCCAAACTTTCCGATGAAAATAGGCGGAGTCTCATAAAGAACAACCATCCGTCTTCGGTTCTCCTATATAAACCCCATGATTCTATACATCAAGCCATCCGATTCTCTCAATTCCCACTTCAAACATTCGAAAATGAAAGTGTCCTCTGCCCTTGCTGAAATTGTCTCTGAATTCTCTGGATTCCAACATCTTCATACTTTTAAATCCAACCCATCTTTGTCTACTACTCCATCCAAAAAGTCTTCAACGTCATCTGAATTCTTGCCACGTCATTGTCTGAACACCACTATCGGAGCCACTCACCAGAAACAACAGTTCCAGTAGTCTCAACTCGACTATTTCCTATCTTGTCATTGAATAATTTTGATATTCGTCATTTTATAATTCTTTGCCGTGATCTCAATTTGATTTTTGATCTCAAGAAATGAATCGATTAGATGATAAAACTGTGTGTTTCATTCATAAGAAAATAGTGAAAACTAGAACTTTTGAAAACTCGACTATTACTATAGATGAACTCAAATACAGTTTCGGTCTGTTTCAACGTTTTGATGTTCATCCGTCTTTCAAAAATCTAATTGTGAAAGTTGGATGATTGTTATTAACTGAAATTTTGGATGATTCAATATCCCATTTTCTAAAATGAAGTCTTCTGGGCGGAAATCGGGCAGGTTTTGGTCGGATTTGCTGAAAACGGAACATGGTAAGATTTCGATTGGAAGTTCGAAGTTGGAATAATTTGTTTATCATTTATTTTTAAATATCAAAAAGTAATTGAAGAAAAATTTCACGTGCCAGAAAAAAAACTTTTTTCAAAAAGTGATAAAATAGAGCAAAAAGATAAGAATCTCCCCGGATTTTTTGTATATAAGGGGAGAGAGAAACAGTGAGAATCAGTCAGTTCCTGAATAGGAACTGACATCTAGCTGGGGCTGGGAGCCGGGGTCCTGGAAATGGAACTGGAGCCATTAGATTTGGAGATCACGATCTTGATGCTGGAACAGGAGCAGTTGGAACTAGAGCTGTTGAGGCCGGATTTGGAGCTGGTGGAATCGGAATCGGAGCTGGTGGGGGTAGAATCGGGGCTGGTGGAGGTGAAATCGGAGCTGGTGGAAGCGGAATCGGAGCTGGTGGAGGTGGAATCGGAGCTGGTGGAGGTGGGATCGGAGATGGTGGAGATGGAATCGGAGCTGTTGGACGTGTAATCGGAGCTGGTGGAGATGGAATCGGAGCTTGTGGAGGTGGAATCGGAGTTCGTGGAGGCGAAATCAGATCTGGTGGAGGCGGAATCGGAGCTGGAGATAAGAACCTGGATTTTTTGCACATAAGGGAAGAGAGAAACAGTGAGAATCGTCAGTTCTCCAGCTTCAGCTGGAGAGCTGGATCTGGAGTTTTCGGAGCTGGTTCTTGGAATACATCGACAACTTCATGGCTAATCTTGATGATTCAACTGAAACACTTTTACACAGACATTCAATGATGGTTCTCAATTTTCCCAACCTAAACGTATGGATACAAGTAAGTTACTGATGTGAGGGTTATTGATATTTTTTATGTTTCAGATACTTCAGAGCAAATGCTTTAGAACGAGCTGTGAATCAATGACGGGCATTTTTTGTCATTGCCCGATTTCCCAATTTTGTTATCAAAGGAAACTGAATCAAAGTGTACTGTAGCTTCGCAAAAGGACAACCAGTGGAGCTCGGAAGTTGTTCTGGTCGGATTATAGCTTTGAAACAAGATTATTTGTAATGGTAGACAAGAACAGAAGTTTGAACGAAATCACAACTCTAGGAGCAGAATACATTAAGAACCAACACATTTTTTCAAAGATCTTGTCAGAAAAAAAAGGCATTACTCATTTTTGTTCAAATTCGTATTTTTTGTCAGTAAAAACAAAATATCTAGCATCAAGCATCATAAACGTCTGAATGCAAAACAAAGAGTTTTTCTTCTCCTGATTACAAGAATCTAGTGAAATTCTCGTCAAACGATTCTTCTTGTTTTCCAGTACATTCAAAACTATAAATTCCAATAAATATGTGATTGTCGTAGGATTATACCAGCCGTCTTGTTAGCTAACATCTCCTGTTATTAATTATTTTTCTATTATTTTCAGAAAGATGTCTTCAAATATGTCTTACGATTGGAAAATGACACTGTTTTTTGTGTTAACTAATAATTTCAAGCTATACCCTGAAGCATATGAATGTTCAAAAGATTGGACAAGTCCGGGTGCACAATGGCCAAAGTTTGGGATTTATTTGATGGTGTCAGGATTGATTTTCTTGGTATGAAAACTTTTCACCAGAATTGCTCTATAGTGGTCCCAATATGTGCTAACTTGCAACTGATTTGTTTTCTGGACCATTTACCATGGTCGCCTAACTTTCGGTAGTTGAGTTTTCTACGCCACCAACTTTTACTGAGGAGGAATAACCTGACATTAATCTGGTGTGTTTTCAAGACTATTTCAACATGGTGGTCTGACTTTCTCAAGTTGAGTTTTCAAGGCCACTATGGTAAATCGCCTAGAATACACACGAGTGTATGTTAGACCACTTTCAAGCCAAAAACTTTGGTGGCCTAGAAAAATGAACTTGCGAAAGTTAGGTCACTATGGCAAATGGTCTATCTCTGAATCTATCAGATACGGTGACTGAGAAAAATAATTTTGAGAAAGTTATGCAAAAAAAATCATGGACCTTTTTCAGTCCCTCTACCTCCCTTGTTTCATTGCCATTCTCAAAATCAAATCCTCCGCCCCAACGTATCAATTGATGTCACTGATCGCCGTTTTCGATATCACTGGTCTTATCAATGGCTCCCTTATCAATGGATACATCACCTATCAAGGAATTTTCTTCTGCCAATACCCTCTTTTCTTTTTTATCACCGGAAGCCTTGCACTTTTCAGTTGGCTCAGTAATTGTATAGTTTGCATCTTCCTGGCAATCGAACGAGTTTCTGAGGTCGATTCTGATTTTGCTTTATCATTTCTTTTTGGGAAAAAGGTGTTCCGTATTCTCAAATGGTGCATCATGTTCTATTCAATCAGTTCTCTGTTACTTGGAAAATCAATTGTATTTAGCGCGGCTTATGGCAGTTATCTGTATGATCCATTGATTGGAAAAGATCCAAATCTCTATAAAAACAATTGGGTTGCTGGTAACAATTTTATTATGGCGATCTCAACAACAACCCTTTATTTTTATCTCTGCTATTATCTCCTATTCAAATATCGCTATTCCACATCCATGTGGCTGTATAAGTCAAAGCGACAGGTAAGCAAAATTTCAATTAATGGGTTCATGGGTTCATGGGTTCATGGGTTCATGGGTTCATGGGTTCATGGCTGAAAATATAAATATTTCCATAAAAAATAAAAAAAGGAAACATTTTTCTATAATAAAATATTTCCAGATAATTCTCCAAGGAATATTCCTATGCTTTTTTCACTCTGCCACTGCTCTCATCTACGAATATTTATACTTCCTATCCTCTCCAATAGAGCTCATTATCGCTGGACACGTGATGTGGCAAATCAGCTGTGGATCCTTAAGTATTGTGTACTTGACTCTAAATCGAACAATAAGAAATTCGGTTCTCAAAATGGTGATTCCAAAAAGAATGCGAGCAAAGTTTGGATGGCACATAGGAGTTGAAGAGCATCAGGCAGTAGAGAGCGCTATGGATGCATCTGGATTCAAAGGGGTCGCTATTGTCGGGGCGGTCGTGAAAATTGATAACTATTTTCCGAGCTGAATAAACTCTATTTTTGGTGTATGAGATTCCAGATTGCAATGAATCATTGAACATTTTTATTTTTGCTGAACAAAGAACCCGTCTTGGGAGGTTACTAATCGAATCAGCAGTTGGAACATTGCAAAAGAACGTTATTCTATGCCTACGTGATTTTCGCTACTTTTATTTTGTCACCATTCTGACATCATTTTTTCACATTTTGACCTACAGATTTTGATTTACAGAACTAGAATCTGTACGCAGCCAATTTTCATGCCACTTCTTATCTTTTATCATCATCCTCAAAGACAATAATGAAAGTTCTAAACCCTTTTCCTTTTTCTCATCTTCATATGTTCTTCTCTTCACGTGAAGAGATTTTTGAGAGAATAGAACCGAAGACGTTTCAACCATAGAACCTCCAAACTTTCCGATGAAAATGGGCGGAGCCTCACAGCGAACAACCAACTGTTCTCGGTTCTCCTATATAAACCTTGTGATTCTATACATCAAGCCATCTAATTCTCTCACTTCCAACTTGTAACTACAAACATGAAAATGTCGTCTGCCTTTGCTGAAATCGTCTCCGAATATTCTGGATTCCAACACCTTCATACTTCTAAATCCAACTCATCTCTGTCTACTGCTCCATCCAGAAAGTTTTCAACGTTATTTGAATCCATGCCACGTCACTCTCTGAACATCACCATCGGAGCTGCTCCACTGACAAGGAACAATAGTTCCAGTAGTCTCAACTCAACTATCTCCTATCTTGTCGTTGAATAATTTTGAAATTCGTAATTTTTTAATTTTTTGTGTCATGTTCTCTTACGGTTTTTGATCTCAAGAAATAAATTAGTTTGATGATTATTCTGAAATCCTGCCTCATTTTACGAGGTACAAGGCAACGAGGTGATCTAATAGAATCCCAATCAATTCAGTTCAAGATCAATTATCTCGGTTCCTCCAAAAAATAACAAAAAGCAGTCAACTGATAAGTTATTTATCATAACATCACCAATATTTCATTATTTGACACATTTTTATATCTCTCTTAGGAACCAAGATAATTGAGCTCAAAGCGCACGCGTTGGGTGGGCTAAATTTTGGAAAATACGGTAACAAGGTGGATTCAATCATAAAATGCGACGAATTTCTGTTTTTTCTAATTTGTGAAATTGTTATTGTTCTTGGAAAAAGTGAATGAGAACAACTGAAAAATACTCTGACACAACTAATTTTAGGATTACGAATTCAAAGAAAAGGTGTAATTTTGGTGACATGCGTTTTCTAATGAGATGTTTTTAGAACTAGCAACATCAACAAAGCAGACGTTCAAAATTTTTCATATTTTTTGTTCCCTCTAGATGAGCTATTCTTACTTCAATACTCCTGAATTTTCATCTCAAGTGCTTCGATGTTTCACATTCTTTGAGCTCCCAATCAACCTTTTAGGAGCTTACAGTATTCTTTTTAAAACCCCAAGTTCTATGAAGCCTATAAAATGGAACATGGTTAATTTACATTTTTGGAATATGGTTCTGGATATATTGTTCACAATTTTAGTTTTTTTTTGCCAACTGGAGTACTTTCTGATTTTGGGGTTCCATCAAATGTACAAGTTATTTGTTCACTTGTTGTTCTTATGAGTAAGTCAAAGTTTTGTAACTTTTTTCAAGTCTGAAAACGTTTTCAGTAGTGTGTGTCACTGTTATCTCAATAATGGAAAACCGATATTACTTCTTATTCTCCAGAAGATCGTGCTGGAAAAGTTGCCGACATTCTTTCATGGTCTGCAACTATGCGATAGTAATTGGGTGCATCTTATTCCCATCTTTCCAGCCATCACCGAATGTAGATGTTTTTCAGAAAGTGAGTTCGAGCGCCTGACTTATTTGACTTCTTCTCAAAAAAATAGTTATTCAGATGTTCCCTGAAATTCCGATATCCACACACTCAACGTCGTTATTTATATTCAACACTGACAGATTTTATACGTCACTGTCTATGTTTTCAGCTGGGGTTTTGATTATGTCTGAAACAGCCATTTTCTGTGGTTTGATAATTTGGAACATGTGGAAACAGCACGAGCACACTTCGAAAAGGGCTTTCGAAATGCAAAAAAGATTTTTGGTGGCTTTAGCGATTCAGATATCCGTGCCATTTATTATCCTTGCTGGTCCAGCGACATACAACTGTTTTTCTATTTTAACCAGATATTATAATCCCGTTGCTAACAATGTCGTTCTCATCACAGTTTCCACTCATGGATGGGTTTCTGCTATTGTGATGTTGACGATACATGAGCCATATAGGAATTTCTGTTTCGGATGGATAAAACGGACAAAAGTGATAGGAAGACAAGCAACTATTAGTGCTATATTTTGAAGAACGGGAATTGAACTAGTTTGAATAATCATTTTTATAATAAATAAATAAAATTTCGTCTCTTTCTCTATAAATATTTTTGTCCGCACATTTCGAAAAGCTTGAAAATTGAATATAAAGTGGCAAACATAAGTGAGTATCACTATTTACTTTGGTTCATAACTTTGCTCAAACTTGTCCAATAATCGAAAAGTGCCTTCTGAATCCCATGACGATGCCTCCAGAAGAAAAATAAAATTGCTCACTTGAGCATAAAAGGTATGGTTCAGGAGTTTGGCTATCTTGTCGGCTTAAAATGATCCAAATTTGCTCAAATATTGAGAGAATGTGTGGATTTAATTGTTTTACAATATACATACAAAACTTTGTATGCTGGGAACTAAGAAAAAAAAGGGTAAAACAAAAACGGGTAAAACAAACAAGAATTTTTTTTTCCAAAATACAAAGTACAAAAAAAATACAACGTACGAACAAAGTTACAGGCCATAAAGTGGCTTTTTTGGCAAATCCCGCAAGGCACGGGAAAGGCCCGGATTACAAGTATGAGAACAATAATTTTGAGAAAATTACGCAAAAAAATCAGGGACCTTTTTCAGTCCCTATATCTCCCCTGCTTTATCGCCATTCTCAAAATCAAATCCTCCGCCCCAACATATCAATTGATGTCACTGATCGCCGTTTTCGATATCACTGGTCTTATCAATGGCTCCCTAATCAATGGATATATCACTTATCAGGGGATTTTCTTTTGCCAATATCAACTTTTCTTTTTTATCACTGGAAGCCTTGCACTTTTCAGTTGGCTCAGTAATTGTATAGTTTGCATTTTCCTGGCAATCGAACGAGTCTCTGAAGTCGATTCTGATTTTGCTTTATCATTTCTTTTTGGGAAAAAGGTGTTCCGCATTCTCAAATGATGCATAATGTTCTATTCAATCAGTTCTCTTTTTTTATATTTTTTTCATTTTTTGTGTACCAAAAACGGGTAAAACAAACAAGAAAAATTTTTTGTTTCCAAAATACAAAGTTTTGTATGTATATTGTAGAACAACTGAAGACACACATTTTCTCAAAATTTGAACAAATTCGGATCATTTTGAGTCGAGTTATAGCCAAACTCCTGAACCATACCTTTTATGCTCCAGTGAACACATCTCAAGAGCAAGTGTTCCAAACTGCTTCAAATTTTGTTTTTGTTTATATTTGATCTACAACAAACATTTTTCATCACAAAGATAATCTTTTAAAAAATTCTGACGGAAATTTTTATTTTTCTTCTGGAGCCATCGTCACGTCTGTGAAGATTCAGAAGACACAAAAATTGATTGAGTTTCAAAAAACTCATATAACGCTTTGTTGGAAAATCAGCTACATTTAACGAAATAGTTTTCGATTGTTGGACAAGTTTGAGCATAGTTATGAACAAAAGTATAGAGTGACACTCGCTAAAGTTCGCCACTGTAATTTGACGAGACATTTAAAAAAAGAATGAGGAGCGAAGCGATGAACAGTAAAATAAATAGGTTATATTTCGCCGAAGGCGCACCAGCCAGCTGTCTGAAGCGCCGGAGGCGCGGCAAACAGGCTGGTGTATATAAGGAATTTGATTCTACTCGTAATTACTCAAAAAAAAAAATACAAAACAAACCAAAAGCGGCGTACAACCTTGTTTCCCAGTAAATGAGACTCAAAGATTATCCCCTAGCTGATGGAATTTGCATTTCCTGACTTCATTCTCAAATTACTGTTCCTTTTCCACATTTGCCTATCTAAACGAATTTTCAAAGGAACACAAATCTGAACAGAAATAATTTCTAGGAAAATCAGCTTATCAGGTTATGACCACACAATTAACGAGTTCCCTCTCCTTCCTTATTATTTCACTCTTACTTTTTCTCTATGCAAGCCTGAACAATGTCTATCAAATATGTTCAGGAGGACTTCGAAGGATTTGGCTTTAGCAATTCCAGTATAAAAACATTGATAAGCATTTTCAGTTTTCTTGACTCAATTTGTTATGCTCTCATAGAATATGACTTCGTGTTGATAGTTATCGGATTCATCACGAATCTATTCCCCATTTTTATCCTCCTTCAAAAATCAATGAGAATGAGTAGTGTTAATGTGCTGATGATTGGGATTGCTGCTTGTGATTTAATCATTTTGTGCATTTTGGTGTTTTTAAATGCAATGGAATTATTAGAATCGATTAGTGAATGGTAACGTGCATAGTGACGTCGAAAAGGAGACGTTAATTTTTTTCTTTCAGTTGGAACCGTTCAAGCTATCCAATTAAAGCTATAGGGTTATGGTTAGAAACAATAAGAGATGATCTAGCTCGATTGATCACATGGCTCGGCATTTCAATGGCTGTTTTAAGACTTTCGATTGTGAAGAACTCGCTGAATCCGAAATTCGAAAAATATCGAAACCCATGTTTAGTGTCATAATCTTTGCGACATTGGTCTTTAGCACAATTTGGTAACTATTTTATTTGAAGAACTCGTCATTGGTAGAAGGCGGACTATGGCGACCACCGCCAAACTACCGGATTCCCTGTAAATTACACTGAACCTGAATATTATTTTTTGACTGACGAAGAAGCTAAAACAGGGTTCGAATGAAGAAAATTCAAAAAAGGTGCCGCCGGGGAACGAGAATTTTTCTAAGTTAGAGGAAAGAAGCTAACCAAACAAATTTTATGGCTTAGGAAGTTTCAAAATTTCGAAGATTGGTTAATAAATCATTTGAGAAAGGCTGAAAAATGTTCTGAGTATCAAAATTAGAATTTTTCAAAAAAAAATTCTGAAGTTATGTAACTGGGGTCATCATAAAAGCATTGACTTTCACGGTGACGGTTCCCTGAAAATTGGAAAATAATAGGGAAAAGCAAGAATGTTTAACTACCGTCTCTTTCTTGTTGGGTTTGGACGTTCCGCAACAGAGTAAAGATTTTACTGTACTACGGTATCGTGTGGATACGGTAAGACAAATTAAACAATGTGTGATAGAGTTTAGGACGGCGAAAATAAGAAAAATGAACATAAGGTCGGACATCAATTGTCTGAAAAAATTACTACCGCTGAACCTGTCA